TTGTTTTTCTACATTTCATTTCCATAATTTACCTTTTGATAAAATTATATAATAATATCTCAGTAATTAAGAAAGTATTCTCCCCATAAAAACCCACATAAAAATAATAAAAAAGTATATTCAAATAATAACACTAAACATATTCAAATTCAAAATATTTTTTTTTTAATCTGGTCATTCGATAAGAAAATAATATAGTTTGAGAGAGATCAATTTCCTTATTTTTATTTTTCAAATTAATAATATAAAGTCCTAAACAGCAAGAGAATATTTTCACGAGGATCTTGTACTGACAGAGCTGATTCAGGAATACCTCACCAGATAAATATTTTTGTTAATTCATTCCATTCATTCAGAAAAATATAAACATTTTTGTCAATTTACGTATAACTGGGAAGATTATTTATTCCACTATTGAATCTTGATGGTTTGGACCAACCGTACACTTGTAAAAAAAAAAATATAAAAAAAATAATTGTCCTAAGATGACCCAGATTTTCATTTGACGAAATATTTTAAGTTATTTATCAGAAATTTAGGCATTAGTGATATAATTGAGAAACGGACTAATCAATTTTAGGACTATATTGAAGGGTCGGCCATACAATCGTGAAAAATGTCATCATGGTGGCCTAGCTGAATTCAATGTCTTTTAAATTATTTAAATATAATATCAGATCTAGAGTGATTAAACAACATTAAATATATTTAAGATAATAAACATATCCATGAAATATTTTTATATTTCACTTTTTCTTTTACACAAGTACAATGCAATAGTACCAAAACAATATCATTGCCTTGAATCCGTGGATTTTAAATACTTTTTCAAAGTTAAAAAAAAATATTAAAAGTTTACATTTAGCAAGCAAATTTTCTTGAAAACACGTGATTGAAGTTAAATAATGTTAGTTCTTAGAAATTATTATTTATATTTTTTTCGCCACTTTCCGTTACTTTCTGCAACTTTCTATATTAGATATACATTTTTTTTAAATTATCCTCTTTCCAACGATATCTTATACATATACCATCTGACAATTATTTCAGGATATACATCTTCGGCCTGGCAAGTATTTTTATTTTTTTCTCCTTTATTCAGTTATCAAATTCTTTCAAAAGTTATATTTAGCAATTTTTCATACCTCCTAACAATGAGAAATAGTTGCTATGTATAATAAAACAAGTTAAAGGAACTTTAGATGAAGACATATATAAACATTGGGCATTTAAGCCCTGTAAAGTGACATCAATGGGGATAAGACCTAATTGATATTAAATACCACTTAATTATACAATGATACACCGAGTTTCATAAAACTCGTTAGAGCCGTTTTGAGAAAATTGTAAAAGATGAGTTCTTTATGTTTCTTACAGAAGATTAGCAAAAACGCCATAACAAGTGCCCAACACATTTTCAAATTGGTGTAAGTCACTTCTCAATCCTACACATATGCCTGAAATGCAAACAAAAGTTTGTTGCAATTCTATATGTAAGGGGCTAAAGTCTGCCAAGGTATTTATGAGTCATCGCTTTTTTTTTTCTCACCTTTATGTTTATACGGGATTTTCCCGGACCAGGGGGTGAGGAAAGAGGATCAATACATAAAAAACTATAACACCTCATATTTATTTTATTTATCTACCCAATATAAAGGGAAAAGTATGGGAACAACAATTAGTCATAATAAGAAACAACAATTAAGTCATATATTGGAATAGGAGCCCACGCTACTAGCTGGATCAAAGTGCGGCGAGGAGTACCCCATGGCGGACCCTTGTCGCCCTCGCTGTTCAACCTGGCTATAGACCATCCATACCGCGACCTGTGTGAGCAAGAATTTTCCAAGCATTACGGATATAAGCTCACCAGCGATCAAGAATGTGTGGTCCTCACAGGCTTCGGACGATAAGGCTGTTTCAGTACGCGACAAGGGTGCTGCAGAAACGATAATTAACTGTGTACAGAGGATCCTCGCCGAGATTGGTCTGGGTATTAATCCGAAGAAAAGCGTAGGCCTGATAATGGATAAAGGAGAGCTGCAACAAACAAAGCTCTTCCTTGAGAACGGAGAAGTAATTCATACATCAAAGGCAGATGATACTATAAAATATTTAGGATGCTCGTTCTCGGGAGAGCTAGTGATAAATGAGGAAAAGTTAATAAAAACTAACGACAACTTAGATAAACTGGTGAGGTCTTGCCTTCTTAAACCGAAGCAAAAGAACAATGTTGTTAATCAATATGTGTTCCCGGGGCTTACCTACCCTCTCCAGACGGCGCTCCTTACAAGGATACGGCCTGCATTATTGGAGGGGATTGCTGTAAATATCTGCAGGAGTATCAAGGCGGTCATAGGGCTCACCGCTAATACATCATCGGCGATGTTATATGCACCAAGGAGGTATCGAGAATTGGGACTGATTCACTATCAATGGTCCTTTGCAACATTGGTCCATTGCCCAGCGACTTTCCAGTGTACCGGATGCCCTGTTCCAGTCTATATTCGATTATAACGCCGAAATATCCGAATGTGCGGAGAGACTAGGTGTTGATCAGGGCCACCGAAGCATGTGAGCTCTACGACAGCCACTGAGAGAGAATTCTTTTGAAGAATGGACCAGTTGCAAGTGGTAAGGCGTCGGAGTTCGGCATTTCAAAGAGATTCCGAAAGCTAATAAATGTATATGCCAGAAGCAAGTACTTCCGGGGTCAGAATGGTCCAACTCCTTGAAACTTAACATCAACTATGCACCGTTGCGTGGAGTCCCAGGAGCCAGTGGACAGTCGAAGGAAGTTGGGTCCCTCTGTCGCAAATGCGGCAGAGAGTCTGAAACACCAGCCCTGTGCTGGGAAAATGCCCCAACAACTCCCTCCTCATAACATGCCGGCACCCTAGAGAAATTCGAATTGATCAGGCTCCTTAGGGAAAGGGAATTCGTATGCTTCGACGAGGTCTATTGTATTGATAGCGATGGATCAACAAGATACGCGGATATAGTTGCATTCTCCAGGAACGGAATGTCAGTTGTTCATGTTCATGAAGCCAATGAAGTAGATAGAGAAAAGAAGGAAATCTTTTCCTAAAAGAGAAATTCCACGAGACCTTCGGAGAGATAGAGTTCACAGTGAGAGGTCTCTAGTTTGGGTCTCGCGGAATGATTCCTAAAAGAACAGGGAGCTTCTTCGAGGACCTAGGTGTTGATGTTGGGGAGCTTGCAGTGTTGGCCGAGAGTATTATTCTGGACTTCCTTGGGATCATTCATCATCACATATATGGTAATTAGGGGTTGATTATCGTTATTTATTTATTTATTCAATTTTAAATTATTTAAGTGACCATATCTTTTTGTCTATGTTCATAGGACTATGTTATTTGCTGTGCGTGCGTTATAATTTACTGGTGTTAAAACCTTAGCATTCGAATATTATATATATATATATATATATATATATATATATTTATTTTTTAGCACTATAAATTTTAGAAATTGACTTGTATATTGTTTGTGCTGTGTAATATGAAAAGGAATTTGTATATAATTTGTATGTATAAAAAAAAAAAAAAGGATTCATGAGTATGCTGTGTATTGAGCGACCCTATATAGTAGGGCAGCACTGCTTTAAGTAAAGTATTTCTCTCTCTCTCTCTCTCTCTCTCTCTCTCTATATATATATATATATATATATATATATATATATATATATATATATATATATATATATATATATATATATAATTAGTTTGTAAAATGAACATGATAAAATGAATATGATATTGTTTGAAAAATACAATAGTGAATCCGATACAAACCTAGACAGAAAGTATTTTCAAATAGCAATAAAACAAATATCACTGCTAAAAAGTATTGAATGTTTTGAGGAAAAATATTTCAAATATAAAATACCCAAAATATTTTGTATTTTAATTATATAAGAATAAAATTCATACTTCTCATAAAATGGCGCTTTACAAAAATATTTATAAAAAGTGGGTTTGTTTTGGCGAGGAATGGAGTTATGATGCTAGAGGAGAGGTGATGAACTTTTAAGATAATTATGAACTTTTAAATCACTTTATTCAATTAATACTATTTCTGAACAGTTTATAATAAAAGTGAAACCTGATCAAATTATTTAATTTTAAATATTCTCAATTCAAGTTAAAAAAAAACACCATAAATTATATTCTATCTCAAAAATGTCCAATTTTCTTGTCAACTTTCTAGCTATACACGAAGTCGAGTGATACAAGATAATAATTATTTCTGTGCGGTATAGTATTTTGATTTTAATTTACGTTTTCCAATTAAGTAAATTTTGAGTATACATCTACAATATAAAACCGTCTTCTTTTTCTTTCTTCTTTTTTTTTTTCCTACCTACATCTATCTACCAATACTATTTTCGGCTGGATGTTTTTTTTCTTGAGACAGGGGAGAATTATTCGAGAGTTAAAAGCTCCGGTACTCGAACTAATCTCAGTTTATCAGGTTTTCGAGCAATGCGTGTTTTGCACACGTGTTAGCCCGCTCGGCAACCACGCCCCTCTTGAAAACCGTTAATTGTAAATTATAAAAAAGCATCTATGAAATGAAAAAGAAATCATGGTAACTATATGAAACAAGACAAGTCTAAAATATCCTCTCGCCTAAGAAAGAGAACTGAAATTAAAGAAGAAAAAACACAAAAAAAAAAAAACCTGTCCAGTCGGCCGTGAAGATTTCGGCACAAGTGCCTTGGGTTGGCAACCTGGTTCCACCTTGCCTAAGAGTGTGTGAGTATCTGAAAGTAATACATCCAGGAGCTAAGAAAATTAACTTTTATTTAATTTTATATAATTGTATGTTAAATTTAAATGGTAAATGATCATACTTTCCTTTAAAGAATGAAAAATCTTACTGTAAAAGTTTATTTACAGCTTAGTTATTAAAATACAATTGATAAATAAAATTAAAATCATATTAATAGTGAATTGAGGAATAAAAAAACTATGTTTTCAGAATGTTAGAAAAGATTTTCTATCTCGTGCTTTTGATATCATCGATGGTGTTGGAGCGCCTCTGGTCTCTGGGACAAAGATCAAGAAGAATGCTCCTAGAAGTGCCAGGCAACCACAAAGGACCGTAGGCATCCACCAAAACCTCTTTCCCTGCAAAGTTTAATAATGTATTGATCATGGGTATTTGAAAAACGATATATAAAATGGTTGATATAACAACATGAGTGGACTTGGAGAGAAACTACCCATTGGTAGCACTCTAACATAATTTATACATAACGAAATCACGAGGCCATCTTCTTTTCAGACATCTTTGAGGAATATCGGGGATCAAAGAGGAAGCAATGTTAATATGAGAGAGTTTGGATGGTTCTGAAATTTATTATAGGTCAGGTTATTGTTTGCATTAGCCTAAATTGGAAACATATATAAAATATAATATTTAAATTATAGGTTAAAGGAGAAACAAAAACTATATAGGTAAATAAAAATGTATAAAAACTAATATTATTTTACGTAAACCTAATGTTTCCATGGAATTTAAACAAAACTTTCTAACTCAACGTAAATTATTGAAATAATTTTTAAGATTGAAACTAATTTATGTATAATTTAACGAATTAAAGCATGACATTGTTAAAACAATTATTGTAATTGTTCTTGTGAGTCAGAGGAAGGGAAATATTAAATATTTTCTGAATGTATCGTAAAATGTAAGTCGATTTATTCCGAAAAATAAGTATATACCATTATAGAAAATTATTAATTAACCGAAAGATATATTATAGGATTTGATATGCATTTAGAAGTGACAAACTAAATGTTCCTGATCCTAATATATACGTTTTTATGAAAATTATTGGATCAATCAGCAGGTTTATTATTACACACACACAAGTACACACATACTCAAACACACAAACAAACACACACACAAACAGACAAACGCACAAACACACGAACGCAGGTTTATTATTACACACACACACACACAAGTACACACACACACACACACACACACAAACGCACAAACAGACAAACGCACAAACACACGAACGCACAAACAGACAAACGCACAAACACACACACAGAAACGCACAAACACACAAACGACCACACACACAAACTCACAAACAAACACACACACACAAACACAGACAAACAAAAACACACACCTAAATATTAGGTCTAGAAACATTTATTTCATCACTTATAAATACAGATCAATTTCTGTAGATCTTAAAAATAACACATTGTTATTGCTAGTGAATAATCGATAAATTATTATTTTTAAAGACTTTTTTTAGAAATAATAATCGATAAATCATTATTCTCCAAACAATTTTTTAGAAATAAAAAGTTTGTTAATGCATTTATATTTATACATCCTTGGTCATGGAAAATAATTTATTGTAATATTTTTTCAGAAAAAACTGCTATTTAGGTGACGGGGTATCGAATTATCTCATTTTTTTACACCTGAGGTGAATCTCAAATTATTTTGTAATAAACTTTATTAATATGGACTTGAAGCTTATTAAACGAGCTAGTTTTTCTGAAAGTGGTGCCTCTGTAGTATAGTTGGTAAGTAATAACAATTCGTGAATATTTTTTGATTTTTGCTTCCTCACTACCAAAGGTAGGGAAGCATTGTGTTCGTGCGAGAGATTAAAAAATTTTTTTTGCTCAGAATCGAAAATTTTCACTCGCGTTTTACGTTTCAGACATCAAGGATCAAATTTGGTTCGGTGTCTGTCTGTCTGTAGTCAAATCGATGTGACGGGCATATCACCTAGTACCGTTCATCCAATCTTTATGAAATTTTCAGAGATTATGCTGATTGGTGCCTAGATGGTCCCATATCAATTTTATCAAATTCCATCCAGCACTTCCGCTTACGCACGCGCAAACGTATATTTTTAGATATGCCAATATTTCAGAAAGGGCTCGTTCGATTTGGCTCAAAGTCAGTAAAAGGTAAACTTTGAAAAAATAATGTAGAACCATTTCATTGAATTGTGTCCAACACTTTTTCTTATATGTGCACTACTAGTCCGCCGTCCGACGTCCGCGCATTTTTTCTGAAACTACTAGGCCGATTTTTTTCGAATTTGGATATAACATCAGAGGTTACCCGAGGATCATCCTCCTTCAACGACATTACTATTCGCCTTCTAGTTTCAAAATGGCGGCCGAAAAACCTGCGTTGCTATAGACTGTAGCGCCTAAACGAATGTACCGATTTTGATGAAATTTCGCTAAAGTCATTTTCTCTACGCCCTCTAAATTTATCTATACTACATACTTCAATGAAAAGAAGCTCAAAAAAAGTTACGAGGGATGGTAAAATTAAATTCCGAATTACTCAAGAAGTATACACATTTATGTCAATATTGTATATGGTTTTTTGGAAGTTTGCGGAATTTTCTAAAAAACAAAAAAAAAAATCGTCAAAATCGCACGATTAGGAGCAAAGATATGGTCTATATATATATATATATATATATATATATATATATATATATATATATATATATATATATATATATATATATAAATCTTTCGTGCTGAAGCCCCTCCTCCAAAATTAAATCTTGATTCGGTAATGTATATACTATTATTAGAGCATAAGTTCGTATGTAATAATTTTCAACTTTAATTCTATGTGTATTAAAGGTGATATTTTGTAGTCTGCAATTGATATAAGTAGTCTGCTACTATGGAAAATAGCAGATGAAAATAAAATATGAAATTATTCTAATAAAGCATAAAGAAATATTGAGTTTTTATGCTCTCTTGTAAAACAATAAATAAATTTATACAGAAGACCTTTTGAACTAACAGTATTGAAATTCATGTTCCGTATGCATTTTTTTTTAATTATTTATATTTTTATTAAGCATAATCAAGTATGGAATATTCAAATACGACCCTCTTTTGTTGAATGTTGAAGGGTAACTGTAATCGGCTATTCCGATTCTGCTTCTCTCAGAAATTTTATTCTCATACGAAAAATTGTATACCTTGTATATACAACGGAAACGGTGAGGAAGCTATACTGACCTTACTTGGCAGACGTTTTTAAAAGCAGAACATAGCTTAGTTTACCCTCTCAAAAGTCCTCTTTAAATGGTTTTAACAGTGACAAATTAAAGTTTCGTTTGAAGTAATTTTTGTCAAGTTCATTGTGAAGCATTTGTTAATTACTTAAATTAAGGATTTTTTCAGTTATCACTTTTTATCCGACAAATAATATAGCCTACTTAAAAAAAAAACATATAACATAAATTTCCTTCTTTTCTGCTAAAAATGTATACGGAGCCCCTTTTATATACATAAAGTGTACAAACCAATATGTCCACTATATATGGAGCAAGCAGCGGACCAAATTGTGACATAGTAAGACAGCTACCCACGGCAGTGTTTCGACTTTCTGTTGGAAATAGTTCTACTGTGTAAAACATGGCAATTCCGTATGCTGCTATTCCCGTGAGTCTTCCAAATAGAGTTGCACACATAATTGGCCAACCTAATAATTTAAATGGTTTTAGTGTTAAAAATAAAAATAAATGAATAAAACACAAACAAACTATAAATAAATGATTTTTTGAGGTTTCTAATTATAAGTATAAAGTATTATATTTTTGCAAAAAGTATCCTACATTAAAATAAATATGAGAAAATTACTTGCATTTCATTTTGTCAGTTTTTTTTTTAATGACTTTATATTTTTTAGATATATCAAAAAACTCATTTACAACAATCTTCCTGATTATTAGTTTATTTATTACTATATAGTTTTATATAATTTGAGGTCCGGTGTGAGATAGATAAGGCTTCTTAGATTTAATATTTTTTCTTTCAATTCAAAATAAACACATGCTATATATATACTGTTATATAACCTGTTGTGATATTGACTCTACTGTTTTTAAAATAAAAACTTATTGAAAATTAAAGAAAAAAAAAACTTATTCAAAAATTAATCTATTTCCAGTTGTTTGTTTCTTCATTTTTTCTATTTATCGAAGCCAATAGTTAAGTTATATTTTATATATATATATATATATATATATATATATATATATATATATATATATATATATATATATATATATATATATATTGGTTTATTTTATTTATCAGTTGGTTATTAGCCAGGCCCGTATTTATATGCAATTACATATTTTGTTTGCATGCACTTTTTAAGAGGCTGATTAAATATCTATGTCCACTGCAATTTATAATATCCAATCTGTAATATCCAAATGCAATTTATCTATTTTTATATTGCATATTTGATGACAAATGTACATAATTTTGATTTTGATATTTTGATTATTTCAAAGAAAAAATTATATTAATAAGTAAAATAATGATTATTATGAATACCCGTTCTGGATCGGAGAAGAATAATAAGATACAGAATAGGGCTGGCGAACAGTGAAACAAGAAAGAAAAAACTCGATAGATCTATCTTAATAAAAAATTTTTTATAACTCTAAAACTAGATAAACTGTTTTCTTAATACCTTGTGGAGTTCGTGGATCTCCCGAGACTATTTCATTTTGCTGAATATACATTTTTCAAGCATTTCTTATTGAATAGTTCAAATGAAAAAAAAAATTTAGCAGATGTTGCAAGTTTTGCCGTTCTCGTCCCCAGGGGTGGCCATCTCCACCAAAGTCTATGGCGCATAAATCACGCCCACCCCTCTCTAAAACACACACAAACACAAGCGCACACACACACAAGTACACACACACAAACAAACACACACAAACGCACAAACACACGAACGCACAAACACACAAACGAACACCCACACAAGCTCACAAATAAACACACACACACACACACACACACACACACATACACACAGAGAGAGGACCTACAAGATCTAAGAGCTGGTTCAACTGGCTGGAGTACCAAGAGTTGGTTCAACAATGGATTCCAGTCCACTGTGGGGTTGCTGGAAATTAAATCACAGACCGATTGGCCAAGAAAGGAATACTCCTTCCCCAAATTAGCAGCCTACCTAGATTGGAGGAGTACGAAACTATTAACAAAGCAGCCATAAGCCAAAGGTGTCAAGCAAGTCACCCCAATCACAATCTCCATGACTTCTTATCCATTATTTCAAGCTAACCAGAAGAGAACATGTCGTTATTTTTCGCGTCAGAACTGGGCATAACCCTTTGAAATCACACCTCTTCAGGAAGTTCAAGATAGGACCCAATCCCCTGCGTGAATGTGGCCAAAATAAACAAACCACACACCACGTTCTGCAGAACTGCCAGGTGGGGGATGACATGCGTAAGTAGATATGGCCAAAACCGACAGACCTTGGGACTAAGCTTTTCGGAAGTCTGAAGGACCACTAATTTTATATTTTTACTTGCCAACATAGCCATCTAGAGGGAAGAACGAAGAAAAATCAAAATATAATTATAGAATATGATATATTATTCTATGTGAACAAACAATATTATTATCATGAAATATACCTTGTGGTAAAACCGTTATTACTAACATAGCGATGCCAGAAACAGTATATAATGCTATTCCGGAACTCTTTCTGCCAAAATATGTAAAGAAAATAATAGGCAGCAAGAAGCCTGGCGTGTCCACAATGCCATTCAGTCCAATATACAGTCGCTGGTCAATTTCATAATTTGTTCCATTTAGTGCTAGATTTAGAAAAATTAAAAAACAATATTAAATTTATTTCTGACTGTTTTCTCTGAAAATAGTAACTTATAGAATTGTTTCCATTTGTTTTCTGAAAACAAATACCATATTCAATCATATAGAATTGTTATTACATTTGTGTTGTAAACGTTTTGATAAATTAAATTGGGAATAATAGAAAAATCACTCACATCTAGCCATCCAACATACGTACTAATCATGTCAACTCAGAAACCATTAAGCCATGGGTATGCCATTGTTCTACAAACAATTCGGAGCATTAAACAGAAACAATATGTTGAAAAATTGTGGACTTGCAATAAAATTTACATCACTTATTTCTAATACCAGGTTTTGTATCCATTTATCTTAAAAGGGGCAGGAAAATAAACTATTATCTAGATATGAAGAAGATATGATAGATGTGCAGATAATTCCAGTTCATAGATTAGTCAATTCTGCAAAACGCATTATATTATCAAATGCATGCCCTAGTATTCCTAATTATATAATAGAAAGTGAAGTTAATAGGCTGACAATCAAATTACTCTCTCCCATGTTATTTCTAAGAGCAGCACATCATGACTCCAAAAAGGAGCTATATTATGAGCTATCGGTGCCAAGTTTATATTAATCATCGATGTTAACTTTTATGAGGATGCTCACAAACATTAAGGGAATCATAGATAATAGAGGTATACAAATATAGACAACAAACATTTTAAAACATATGAATGAAAATGACTTCATCGATATCTTACTCTGTGATATATATTTGAAGACATCTCAACAGGCAACACAGTTTTTAAAAATCGACAAATTCAAATACCTCGGATCCATAATGACCTCAATGAATGACCAACGGTCGAAAATATACCAGCGTATAACAAGTACAAATGGATCTTTCTTTTCTATTCCTAAGGTATTGAGGTCCCAAAAAAAAGTTAAGAAATTTGAAATAAAGAGTGCACAATGCTAGATCTGGTTTTGAGATACGGTTGCGAGACCTGTACACTATCCAATATCTCAGAGAAGGATTGAAAAAATGGAGCGATCTGGATTCTGAATATTAAATACGGGAAAAGAACTAATAAAGAACTATTTACAATTACTATTCAATCAATATTTCGTTATATGAAGACAAAGAGGTTAAGATGGGTGCGGCATTTATCTCAGAGAAATCCATCAGTAAGCCTGTACACCAGAACGAATAGCTTAACAGTAAGTAAAATACCACGTAGAAGGCCTAAAACCAGATAGATCGATGGAAACAAGGAAGATGCAATTGATCTGCATGAAGATAACAAGAAAGAAATAGACTAAGTTGGAGAAGGATAGTTAAGGCAGCGAAAGATCTTAATAAACTTACATGACTTATAATGAACATTACCTAAAAGATAGTAATAAAAATGTCCCATAAACCATAGATAATTGCATATCAAAGTTCTTTTGGCAAGTTCAAGTGTTGAGAAAAGTTTCATATAACCTTTAAGAAATAAGAGCACATCCATACAAATAGATTCCGATTGAGCCTGAAAATAAACCAAAATAATAATAATAACTTTAATATTATGAAATGATAATTTCATGAAGGAAAATTGTTTTGTTTTATTTATTTATTTATTTATATGATATTTACAACTGTATACAGAAATACATCCAGTAAATTCGCACATGAATATAATGACATGGAACAAATGTTGAGAAACTACCCTTTGGTAGCACTCTAATGATATTAGGAGATCACGTGGCCATCTCCTTTTCAGTACACCTCAGAGGGTTATCAGGAATTGAATAGGAAGCAAGGTTAGAAACAAGAGGGTTGGGATGGTTATGAAGTTTGTTATGGAAGGATAGGTATCTGGATTCGGCCAAATCGGAAACATATGAAACATTGAGGTCTTTATGGGTTATTTTATTTATGACAAAGTTAGGTACATTGAGGATAAGGAAAATTGTAAATTGAAAATAATAAGAATACCTTGGTATCAGATCGAGGTGACTGAAGAGGCTCATTGGGTTCTAAGTGACCTAGACTCCCAATTATATTTGATGCTTTTTTTAATTTTCCTCTTGTTATTAACCATCTTGGTGATTCTGGTAAGAACCTATTGCAAAACATTTTTTTTTTTTGTATTAAAATACAGTAATACATAATGAACATTATGAAAAGTCAATGAGGAAAGGAACAAATTGTCATACATTTATCGAAAATGTTTGCGGTATAAGAATTGTAGGATGATTGTACAACATTTCCACTAAATTTGACAAAGTTTGGTTTTTCATTCCGAAAAACTCACTTAATTGTCTTTGTAAATAAATACTTTTACTCTTTGTCATGAAACTTAGCCTTCTACTTACTATACCTCAACAATTCCCTAATTCCCCAAACAGGTAATCAGCAATATCTTAAAGTATTTTAAGGTGCGTTTAGACATTTCACAAATTATGGGAAACACAATTATCTAACTTAACTTCTTCTTCTTCTTCTGGTACTACAGACCGAAGTGGCGGTTTTTCACCTGTTTTAACATTTGTTGCCACAGAGTTCTTTCCTCAAACACCCCAATGCCCGCCTATCTCATGCTCTCTTCCACCTTTTCCTTCCATAGGTTCCCTTTGGTCTAGATGCATAGATTCTCCCTGTTTAGATCTTCTTCACCTTCATTCATTCAGTTGACATGGCCATACCCATTTCAACCTACTCATTCTTATCACATTTGACAGTGGAAGATCGTTATAAAGATCACAAATCTCTTTATTTTTCCTATTTCGCCATAGACATCACCAAACATTTCATGCACGATTCTCCTTTCGAACCTGTTACATATGTAATGATTTAATCTCCATGTTTCTCCTCTATACGTAACCACAAGTTTGTTCTGGATTTTATGTATATGAATTTTAACTTAACGAGAGATAATGTTACTGTTTACTATGTGCCTAATTGCAAAATAAGCTCTAGTTCCTGCTGGGATAATTCTTTTAACTTCTTCTAACTCATTTGCTTCATTTGTCATTAGAGTTTCTAGGTATGGTAAAGCCGACACGAATTCCATGTTTTCTCCGGAAATTTCATACTTTGGTGGGTGTTGTCATCTCACTTTTTCTATGAACATTAATTTCATTTTTTCAACATTTATTTCGAGCCAGACCTTCTTGCTGCCCATCTCAAGGCAACATACGCCTCCTCAATTCCTTGCTTGCTTCTTCCTAAAATCACCACACCATCTGCGTATGCCATTATTTGTAGTGATTTATTTATGATTGTGCCATTTTCTATCACCTTTATGTTCTTTGCAACATTATCAAGTACAAGATTAAGCAAAAGATGCCCTAGGACATCTCCTTGTCTTAATCCATTTTATATTTCTATAAGCTTAGACATCTTCCATTTACTCGTATTTGAAAATTGAAGTTCCTCGTTGTCGTCTTTGTAAGATTGGTCATTTTAGGAGGGATATTTGCTTTTTCTATTGCCTTATATGCCATAAATCTGTAGGTAATATCATAAGCAGCCCTAAAATCAATAACCACCATGTAACTATATTATATTACTATATCTTTTCATCGATCTGCTGTAAAGAAAAGACCTGATCTATGGTTGACCTGTTTTTTTTTTGTTTCCCGGAAACCGCACTGGCAGTCACCAACCGCCCTTTCGTAGTACGGTACAAGTCGGTTGCAGAGTAGTGCAGCAATTACCTTATATGCAATATTCAGCAGGGCAATACTTCTATAGTTTCCACATTCTGCCATGATTCCTTTTTTGTACACCACAGTTCCAGTTTTCCGACATGCTCTCAACCTCCCAGGTGCGCTCTATGAGACGATGCAGCTCTCTCATCATATTGTGGCCCGCAGCTTTAAAGAGTTCAGCATTAATATTGTCTGCACCTAGTACCTTATTTCTCTTCAGATTATAGATCAATTCCCCTAGCTCTTCTAGTGTTGGTAGGATTGATTTTTACCATCCATATTCTAAGGCATGGATTCTCTATCGTGGATCACAACTGTTCCGGCGATTTCTCCGGCATCATTATTTAATGGTACTTGTAAGTATTCTTCCAATCTCTCCATGAACTCCTTATTTGAGGTCAGAAGTATACCTTCCTTTTTTTTTATCCAATTGTTGGCCGGTATGTATACTTTCTTGATGGCTCCTATTTTCCTTTAGAATTTCCTGATTAGAATTTCCTCTCTCCTCTCTCAGTTTTTACCAATTTTATAGCGGAATCTCTCTGATTATTCACGTGATACAGTTAAAGTGTATATCAGAGCAGTTGATATTTACTCAAGTGATGGCCAGTAAGGTGCCCAAGAGGTCTCGGTCAGACGGAGTTAGCTCACCAGCCAAACCAGCTGCCTACGAGAAATACCTCCAGTGACCAAAATGAACACTTCAGAACCAGAACCTCAGCCCCAACCAGGTACGTCTGCACAAGAAACGATTGAAGAATCACCTTTCTTTACTCCAAACCCCTACCAAGTGATTCAAAATGACAAAGAAGTAATGGAGTCTGCAGCAATACCCAGAGAACCAAAGCCTCCTCCGATATTTGTGAAAAATATAAAAAATTTCCAGATGTTCTGCACCCAACTAAATAAAATCTGCTCTGGCAGTTATTCATGCCTTAACAGGACCAATGACACCAAGATAACACCTGATTCTGCAGAAGCCTACCGAAAAATAGTGAAGTACTTATCAGAAACAAATGCGAATTTTCACACTTACCAGCTGAGGCAGGAAAGAGCTTTACGAGTGGTGATAAGAAATTTACATTCCTCAACCCCCACTGAAGTTATTAAAGAAGAACTAACGACGCTTGGTTTCAATGTACGCCAGGTAACAAACGTTTTGAAGGAGGACAGGGAACAGCCAGGATTACGAAATAGGATCCCACTACCATTGTTTTTCGTGGACTTGGAGCCATCACCAGGTATCGAAAAAATATATGATATCACAAGAATATACTATACAATGGTGAAAGTTGAGAAGCCATATCCCAAGAGAGACATCGTGCAGTGCCATAATTGTCAGACCTATGGCCACACGAAGACATATTGCCACCATCTGCCGCGTTGCGTGAAGTGCGGTGAACAGCACAAATCTGTAGAGTGCACCAAACCTATACAAGATCCAGCAGTATGTGCCCTATGCTTGGAGGGACACCCGGCCAACTACAAAGGCTGCCAAATTTACAAGAATCTCAAAACCAGACACCAGAAAAACCGGATTCAAGATGAAGCACTAAGAACAAGAAGAGAGAGAGAGCCTTCCAGAATTGTAAACAATGATGTATCATTCTCCCAACTACTTAGAGGTAAGACTTTAACCGATAAATGTCAAGCCCTGCCACAACAACAACCTCAAACCCAACCTCAAAATCCTCTTCATCCTAATATACCTAACCACCAACAACAAATTCCTCATATTCCTCCTCCTTCAAATGCAACAGATCTCACAAGTTTGTTAGCATCTTTCCTCACCGATTTCAAATCCCTTGTTACTCCACTCATATCACTCCTCACGAATCTCGTATCTCACCTCATCCCTCCTTTGAAAAATCCTTAAATGACTCACATCCCTAAACCCATATCCATTCTCCTTTGGAATGCGAATGGTGTTAGAAATCATACAGACGAACTATCTACTTTACTACTTGACAAGAACATTGATGTGGCACTAATTACTGAAACTCGACTAACCACTAAACAGCACTTCAATATACCACAATACCTGACATATCGTACTGACCACCCTGACGGAAAAGCACATGCCGGTACTGCTGTAATTGTACACCAATCCCTCTCCCATCACCTACTCCCATTACCAATAAATGATTTCCTACAGTCCACCGCTATCGTGATAAAAACCTTCTCCTTTCCGGTCACTCTTGCATCAGCGTATTGCCCTCCTAACCGATCCATATCCAATGCCCAATTCAGTTCTCTCCTCGACTCCTTAGGACATCACTTCATCTTGGGTGCAGACCTAAATGCCAAGCACCAACAATGGGGTTCCAGAACCACGAATTCTCGTGGCCGAACCCTGCTGTCTGCACTCAATTCCCAACGTTTTCACCTCCTTTCCCCCAACTCTCCTACCTACTGGCCCACAGATCCCAACCGTAATCCTGATCTTCTAGATTTCTTTATCCACAGCGGCTTAAGTCCCCTCAATTGTTCCATTACACGTCTAAATGAACTTTCCTCTGACCATAGTCCTCTAATCCTTAATGTTTCACTTGAACCTGTTCCCAAACCTTCTCCACTGTCATTCATTAGGGGCCCAGTAAACTGGGACCTTTTCCGCCAAATAATCTCCGATAATATTGATCTCAACATATCCCTCAAAACTCCCGATGACCTTGATAGTGCCGTAAATTCCTTTACTACCACAATCCAACAAGCCGCCTGGACTGCCTCCTTTCCAAAAGACTCCTCCAGAATTCCTATAAAGACCATTCTACCCCAACACCTCCTTAACCTAATCCGCACCAAACGCCGTGCCAGATTATTATGGCAACGATCCCGACATCCTACCGACCGCTGCTCCTATAATTACTACTGCAAACAATTAAAACTGGAATTAGCCACCTTCAGATCACAATCCTTCAACTCCTAACTATCCTCCCTCTCTTCTCGCGACAATTCCCTTTGGAAAACCACAACAAAAATCCTAAATCCTCACCGCATTTCCCATCCTCTCCGACGAGGTGATGGCTCCTGGGCAGCATCTGACGAAGATAAAGCTGAGGAGTTCGCCATTCACCTATCCAATACATTTATTTCACATCCGGAATCCCATCCTGCCCACACCGTAACAGTAGAAGAACTCCTTACATCACCAATCCCACTTTCCTTGCCCCCAAAAGCTATTCATCCTTCCGAAGTAAAATTTCAATTAAAAAAACTAATCCTCCGTAAAGCTCCTGGACATGATCTCCTTACACCTCAAATCCTTCGACAACTTCCATCCAAAGCAGTCATATTCCTTACATATATCTACAATTGTATCCTACGCACCACCCACTTCCCTCTGTTATGGAAACACTCCACTATTATCCTTTTCCCAAAACCAGGAAAACCTCTCAATAGCTCAACATCCTATAGACCAATCAGCCTACTCCCAATCCTTTCAAAAATTTTTGAAAAGATCCTTTTGAAACGAATCCTACCCATTATAGAATCCCAAAATATCCCTTCCCATCAGTTTGGTTTTCGCTCTCAACATTCTACTGTTCAACAAGGACTCCGAGTCGTTGATCATATTTCCTCAGCCCTAGAAAACAAGGAATACTGTTCGGGTGCCTTTCTGGATATTGCACAGGCATTTGACCGGGTATGGCACTCCGGACTGCTCTCCAAGCTTAAAATCCATTTACCTCAGTCCTTGTACCTAGTCCTCCGATCCTACCTCTCTGACCGCTCCTTTCGAGTTCGCTGTGGAACAGAATTTTCCAATATCTACTCCGTTAAAGCCGGTGTTCCCCAAGGCAGCGTCTTGGGTCCCGTGCTTTACATCCTCTTTACTGCTGACATCCCTGTTCATCCCGATACTTTTCTTGCAACATTCGCTGACGACACCGCAATCTTATCATCCAACTCTGATCCCGAAATAGCATCCTTAAATCTCCAAAGTCATCTCACCTTGATTGAGCACTGGTGTAATAACTGGCGCATTAAAGTTAATGAATCTAAATGCCAACACATTACTTTTACACTCCGACGCAATTCCTGTCCACCAGTACTCTTTAATTCCATCCAGCTTCCTTATTCAGACACAGTCCGGTATCTTGGCTTTCATTTAGACCGAAGACTAACTTGGAACCCGCATACTAGACTCAAAAGACAAGAACTCAACCGACGATACGGCCAACTATACCGACTACTAAGTAGAAAATCTAAACTTTCCATTGAAAACAAGCTACTGATCTACAAGACAATACTGAAACCTATTTGGACTTACGGACTAGAACTGTGGGGATCAGCAAAATTTTCTAACATCAAGCGCATCCAATCCTTCCAGTCTAAAGTCCTTCGAACAATAGTCGATGCTCCTTTCTATGTATCCAACAAAACCCTACATCATGACCTTAGCATCCCATTTGTCCTAGACCTTATCCCAGAAAAGTTCTCCAAATTTCACCAGAACCTTACTTACCACCCAAATCCTCTTGCACAATCCCTATCAAGCATCTCCCATCCCTATAATCCTCCAAGAAGGTTGAAACGGCAGTGGCCTCGCGACCTTTTGTAAATTATATAAATTGGAGTTCTGGCAATGGCCAGATTCTTCACTCAAGACATGTGTGTATGTGGCTAAAGTGCTCTCGACCAATCTCCGCTGGCTTTAGTACCAGTGACGCGGTTGGAAGCGTAGCGCAGGGTTCTCCTGGAGTTCCCTCGCCGGTTTGTATATAGGTATGCATGTTATTTTTTTTTTTTTTCCTTAGTTTTAATTTTCTTATTTTTTAGGTTATTTTATTTTATTGTCTATTGTATATACTTTTGATTATTATTTTGTTCTATTTATTTTATTTTTTTGTACATATGGTGTGAATGTCATCCTACCTCACTATAACCAATGTCGAACAGACAGATTGTTATAATACTCAATAAAGAAATTTAAAAAAAAAAAAGAATTTCCTACTTTCGTTTTTATTAGCCATTCGATGTTCTTTAACTGTTAACAAAAGTTCTGTAAATCTTTAACTTTAAAAGTTGTAAAAGAAAATGTTCGAATCCCAAAATAATATAAGAAAATTCAAAATAAAGATTTCAGTCATACCGAAACTGATTTTTTATTTATTGGGTAATATAACATTCTGTCTATTTGACAATAGTTATTGTGACCTTTATTGTGAGTAAGACCAGATTTACAGTATACACAATATATAAAACAAATCTAAGCATAATAACAACTAAATATTAATAAAACAATATATACAATAAGTAAGAATAAAATAACTTAAAGATAAATAAATAAAAAAAGAACACATGCATACCTATATACACTATTTACAATCAGGCGAGGAAACTCCGAGCCAAGCTTATCTCTCCGATTGGGGAGGGAAAACCAGGACTCAAGGAGATCCCTGCACTGCTCTCTGAACCGCGTTACTGAGGCTTAACCCAGTGGAGAACCGAGACTGATTAAAAATAAATTTAAAATTCCACTTCGAGAGTGTTTATACTCACGAGCGTTTTGTTTTATTCCGGTTTCTATGTTTGTAAATAGTTTACGAGAACTCTTCAAGTAAAGATTCAGAGGACAAGACATAATTTTCCGAAATTAGTGAAACTGACTCGAAATATCTGAAAATGAGCTCACTTCAAAAACGTCACCGAAACTCTGCCCTTGGGTCAAGAATCAATTCATTTAGCAAGAAAAAAAGTAAATCGACAAAATCTAAACAGTCAGCCGAACCATATATAAATCAGCAACCAAAACTAGAAGCAAAACAAATACCATAAAACCAGAGTCAGCTGCACAAGGTATCACAACCAGCAATAGTTCTGCTCCTTAGTATTATTATTGCTCCTTAGTTTATAGTAGTTAGTAACACACCAAACAAGCCTCCTGTTTCTCAAGGTTTTAAAATTTGTATTGTTGGAAGACTTTTACATACCACTATATTCTTCTGGGTTTGTTCTTGGATTGCCGGACATTTACTAATGTCGAAGTAAATGGACAGACGTATTTATTTATACGTATTAATTTATTTGCAACATTAGTAAAGTCGAAAAAAATAGTTGATTGTATTTGCTGCTAGACCGGGTTTGTCTAAATTTTATCATACTAAAAATCGATTTAATATTTTATAAAATATTTATAAACAGTTGCGTATATCAACAAAAAGAAACTGTGTAATTTTTTTGAAATAAAGATATTATTCATTATCAGTTCCAGGTTTAGTATCTTCTCCGCCCTGGTATCCCAATGTTTATAAATATTAAATAAATAAAATAATATTTATTCCATTAATATGATAATACCAGCAATGGATGATGAGTGCGAACATAGGGACAGAGATAGCTAATTGAAGTTGTCTCCAGTTATTGGTAAAATATGCAGCCAGTGGAAGATATACGAAGCCAAATGAATAAGATATGTTGAATAAATTTCCTAAATATTCCCTATAGCTCTTTACCGTTAGTTCCATCACTGCAAAATAAGGAGTTATTAGAAGTAGACATATATCGGTACTGTTAGTAATCTTTTGTACTAACTGTTGGATAAATATATAAAAATTGAGTTTTTTTACAAAAGACTCTACTAAAGTTAATAAATTATAAACAAATTATTTCGAAATAGCAAGCGAGTTTTTTATTCTCCCAGCAACTTATGTCACCTGATACATATTTATAACAACTCATATCAAGTCACTTATAACACATGATACACCTCTCTCCCAATGTTACCAACACTACACCATTTTTTTGGTTTACGCATTAAAAATAAACATTACAATAGAACATAATATTTTAAGTAATGTTGTTGTTTTGTTGATCTCCTTAGTTTATATAACTCGGGGAGCTTTCGGTGTTTACTACTATATTCATCTTTATTAAATTACATTAAAATTAAATACTATACTGTATATATAAATCGGATTGAATCATAAATCCTTCAGTATGCAGAGTATGATAAGACTCTGATAACAGAAGCAGAGCGAATCGGCATATAAGTAAATGAATGTAAATCAAACATATAATAATAATCCAAAAATCTCACCTGCATAACAGTCTGCATGGAAGATAAATAATTCCTGAGAGTAGACAAATTCAAATATCCTAGATCCACAATAACCTAAATGAATGACCAACGGTCGGAAATAGACCAACGTATAACAAGCGCTAACAGAATTTTCTTCTCCCTTTCAAAGGTATTCAAATCCTTAAATTCTAAAGAAATTTCAAATTACCGGTATACGGTACCATCATGAAACAGTTTTTATAAATGACAGCGAGACCTGGACCCTCAACAGAAATCTAGAATGAAGTAATGAAATATTTGAGTGGAACATCATCCGCACGATATTCCGAGTACTAAAACATCGAGGTGAAAGACCAAATTCCTTGAGCTACTTACAGAAACGGTTGCTTACGTTCATGTAGATCGGAGCAATCCATCTGGAAGCCAAAAACAGGTCAAAGGCCAAAAACTACAAACAGATCGATAGATAGGATTAAAACAAAGATGCAATAGAGCAGCAGATACCGGCCTACTTACATTACCGCAACGTGTACTACACATAGGTACTAGCTGCCGAATCTTACGTGGGAAATTAGAAGGGAATCAATTATAGTTTTAGAATGGTTGGTTCCTCTGTTTAAATTGCGGAGTAGACTGTCCTCACCAGGCCATGGAGAACTGATTTTTAGAATGATTATGGAGAACATCCGTATCATTTCTGCCTGAACAGTAAATATAAAGTGCAATTACTCAATTATAACCTAACAAAGTCCGTAAGGTCCATGTATTCATACAAACACCATGTATTGTAGCAACACACTTTAAACCTAATCTCTAACGTACTCCTTCATGGATGATAAATATTCAGGACGCAGTCTTTTTAATTTTTTTAATTTATGACAACGTTTCAATCCAAACATATGGGTCATCTTCGGGGTGTGGTTTGAGCACTGAGGGTATTCAAGTACTCGTAGTATATGATATGTAGAACAGTCGACTAACTTCCTTCAAGATAACGTACCCCATGTTTTTAATCCTGCTCGATTCGATGGTGGATAAGGAGTTCTTATTATACAATTTCTATGTAAATTACAATCTGCATATATTGTATTATTTATATATTAAAAGCAATTATATCTTACATCACCTCTTTTTTACTTTCTCAGCATTATCAGATTATACAATAATTTTCTACATTTGATTAGAAGGAAGGTAATAATTAAAACCTTTTTTTTCTTATTAATGTCTAATTAAGCACTTAGATGTAATAATAATTTTACAAATTGAGAATGCTGTTCCACGTTTTGGTCTGCACCTTTTTTTTAGTACAGCAGTGTGCGACCTAAATTTCAATACTTTGTGTCCAGCAACATGTTAACTTTGCAAATCTATGAAATTTAATCACTCGTTCGCGCCCGTTTAATTGCAGTAATAAGAATCATGTTGTAAGTGAAAAACTCGGGCTTTCGAAGCGGGAATTAATTGAGGCATTAAAGACGGTAGGGCATCGTTTTAGCAATTCTTTGGGAAAAAAAAATGTGTATATGAAACAAAAATTTAATCTAGGGACAATTAAGCAATGTTTTGAGCGAAATTTTCAAGACTTAGCTTTTTTGATCTTTAGTTAGTAACAGTGAAATATCTCATTATTGTTATCCATCTACCTTTTTTTTTAATCATGGTAGACACCAGTACTTCAAACCCTTGTCACTTTTGACTGCAGACATTTACTAGTATTACCTGATTTGAAAAACTAATAAATTTTCTTTTTATTTATTAAAAACAAAGACAAATTTTATTATGATTTGAAAAAAAAAATATATGAATAAAGTATAGCGTTAAGTGACTGTTTTGAATTGGCTTATAAGGCTAAATATGAACTTATGTATGCAATACCATACAATGATAAATAAATCGACGATATCAGTCTATGTGATATTTTACTATAGAAATGTCACATTTGGATATTTATATTTTCATGAAATATAAAAATATAAGTTTTAGACAAGAAACGGTTCGCAAATCATTTAATGACTTTTTTTAACAACCATAAATTATTCTGAATTAGAACAAAATATTATGCCGTAAATAACATGGCTCCATAACTTTTGTCCCTTTGGATTTGCTATTTTCCCCACTCTGCGACGATGGAAGTTAGTGGAGACTTACCAAAAAGCTTACTAAACATGAAGTACCTTAGACACATCCCTCCGAAAATAAAATGATTCCTGAACCGTCACCTACAGAAAAAAATCGCAACTCTTTGCTGAATACCTTTCATCTGTTTTTATACCACACACAGAATTAACAAATACTGAGTACGATAAAAATATACTAAACACTTTGGATGTGCCTTAAAACTAAAATTACCTCTTCTTTCCTTCACCCCTTCAGAGGCTGCTGAAAAAATAAAAAAATTGCCTAAAATAAAAGTTCCTGGACACGCTGAAATAATCTAACAAATGCCTAGAAAAGTTCTAATGTTTCTGACAACTATTTATAAATTCCCACTAAAATTAAAATAATCACATATAGCAAGCCTAACAAGGAAAAAAAACTCACCTTCATCATACCGACTATACCGACATCATCAGCTTGCTTCCTATCTGTACCAAAATTTTCAAAAGTTTAATGTATAAAAGGCTTATTAATATTGTAACAAATCCGTAAATAATACCAGACCATCAATTTGGATTTAGGGTACATTATTCAACTACACATTTACTACATAGAGTAAGGAATTACATATTAACGGCACTGGACCAGAAGTTATATGCAACTAGCGTATATGTGGAAGTTGCTCAAGTGTTTGTCACCACTCTTTAAACTCAAGTCTATACTTAACTTTACTCCTACCTAATTCTACAATTCTTCTTTTTGGGCAGATATTTTTCCATCCAACACGGGTTTGAACTATCTTCCTTCAGGTTTATCTCAGTATGAATAACCCAAACTTCAGTACTTGCTCCATTACTCTATAGTACCTTGTTCCAACATTTTAACAGCGACATCAGCAGCCGACACATCAATTTTAGCAAGACAAAAAAAAACTAACATACACCTCTCTGATTCTATAACAATATTTATCAAAATTACATGATTGGTTCAACTCTGAAAAATCCTACTTAATCAAGACGACACATCACACACATTACGTTTAATCTTCGACTCGAATTGTGCTCTACAGTTTTTCTTGACCTTACATAGATTCCAAAGAAAGACTCCGTTCACTTTCTTGGTCTGACATTTGACCTAAAAAGTGACATAAAACGATAAAAAAGAAAAATACCTCAACGCAATAGTAAATGTTCACAACACAGATGCATAGTAAAGTACGTAGAAGGTTGAAGAGGAGCTGGATGAGGGACTTGCTCGCCTAACAATTAATATAAATATCACACTTGGAGATATGTATGATCAAAATCGGAGGAGAGTCGGCACTGCTTTGAGAGGAATATCAACCGCAATCAATCAAACCGCTGGAAAAGAAAGACCAATAAAGAACTGCTTACTGAAACCGGTCAATGAAAATAGGATCATATGAAGGCAAGGAGGTTAATTTGGCTAAGGGCGACCGGTCAGGAGTCCTCTACACAACAAAGAAAGTCTGAATAGTTACGCAAGATACGTGGAAGGCCAAAAACCAGACGAATAGATCAAATAAACAAAGTTGCATTAGAGTTGCATGCAGCTTACTGGGAAGAAATAGCCTAAGATAGCGAGAGATGGAGCAGGATGATTTATGGCGGAAAAAGATCTATAAATCATGAAGAGTCAACACACACATGTACACTACTTATTCTTTCTTTAACTCACTTTACTATTTATTTATTTGTCTAATAATCCTCAAACTACTTACAAAATAACTTTGGAAGCCTCATAATGTAAATATGTTTTCAATAACTGTTGATGATAAAGTACTTTAATTAATATAATTTTAAATTAATACTTACAGATTGTAAAACCAGTTTCATAGAGACCAGCACCAGCGACCCCTATAAGCAACCTGAATACTATGAACATGACATAACTATCTACAAAAGCTGCAGATGGGCCTGATATCATGAGCAGTACAGATGAAAATATAAACGTCTTCTTTCTTCCATATCTAAAAATACATTTTTTTTAATATATAAAGTAACTACATTAATTCAGTGCTGAAATAGTATATTTATAACTGTGAATTCTTAAACAAGAGGAATTATATTCCACCAAACATCTCTTTCCTGGTTCCTCAACACTCAATGCAAGCCAAGGGATAGATGAGAGAAAGAGAAATTTTAATATAAACTTAATTGACCCTCATACTACAGATATGAAGTTGCCTGGGGATAGAAGAAACAATTGTTCTGTGACACCTGTGAACTTAATTAATATTTTTATTCTTTATCACTTTTCATGTTTTAATAGTAATTCTTTTCATAGAAACACTAACTTCCATTTACGGTTAAGAGCTAAGAGATAAAAATTACGGGAGTGTTTCAATGATAAAGCAGTCAAAGCCTGAAAATTATCATTTTGGAAGTTATGGCCACTTGTCATCTACAGTCTCAAGATCAAAATTAGATTATTGATTAGTGATTTTTTATTAAATCTTCCAAATTTAAAAAAAGGGCATTTTTAAATAATTAATAAAATTAATAATTTTTTTATAAAATATAATAACTTTAATGAACACTTTCATCTCCCCTCCATGCTTCAATTCATTTTAATTTTTTTTTTACTACGTTTTAGACAACTTTTCCCATTTTTAAGTCGAAATCTTTATATCACTATCCTATTCTCTATGTAGTATTATTTTTTATATAATTGTTATGAAATCTTTCTTCATTCTTATCCTCACAATCCTCCAATATTAATTTCATAACTATTTATGAAAAGTCAATTCTATACTTACAATAAAAAGACTTTGGACACGTCACACAAATTAAGCATTTTTAAAAATCCACCAAATGCTATACATTTTCGTCCTTTATATATAATAGCCTTATATCAACTAGTTAATTAGTAATTTTTTTTTATTATTCTAGTACTTGTTTTAGTTCTTACTAAAAACTATAAAAGGATTGACACTTTCGTGAGGAGAAGCCCATAAGATTAGTGTTGCTCAAAATCGGCCTCGGTCTTGTATTTTGCAGGACCAAGACTAAGACCGCTCAATTGTAGCAAAACAAAGATCAAGAGCGATAAAAAAAAAAACTTTTTGTGAATAAAAATTAAGGCAAAATAGTTACAAATACAAGGCAATTTTAGTTACTATATATAAAGATTGACAGTAATATCTTTATAATATGTAGTGGCAATATTTTATCAAATTTCTCACAGAGCTAAAAAAATAGTGTAAAGCGGACCAGTTTTAGCAACGTTATAGTGTATTGAATTTTAACGTTGATTTTAATAAAGTCCACTTTCTCGCTTACATAGCTTTAGTTCATCAAAGAAACCGTACTCTAATGATTTCTGTTATCAGATTTTTTTTTTCCTTTTCTTCGGTTGGCGCTATAGACCATGAAGATCTTTGACCACGTCTATGGACTAGGGAGGCCACTGAACATCCTGGTAAACACCACATCCCAAGTCCCGACTTAAATTCAGTGAGTAGGATCAACATTCCTAAGCCCGGTCGGTTTGATTTGCCTCTAGTAGCCTGACGGGTATCGCACCCAAAGGGAGAGTAACTGGCTGTGTGGCTTTCCCTGTTCGACGGTTATGCAAATCCGTCGGTCACCCATCCAAGTACTGACCACTCTCGACGTTGATTAATTTTTATTATCTAAGCGTCACGGCAACTCAGACTCAATCAGAAAAATTAGTTTAATTCAATCGTGTTATTTTTAATAAATATATATATTTTTTAAATTGTTTAAAATTCATGTGAGTGGAAAAGACATGTGAGTGGACACACCAGATTTTTTATTTAAATAATTGTTTACATTGTATAGATTGTGTTTACAACTCTTCATTCCAACGTCCAGCCCTATCGCTATCTTTCTTGGCAATGCCTTTAATGTTTTGTCAAGTTAATTTTATTACTATGGTTGAACTTTATACTATATTAATGTCAATAAAACATCTAATCTCTAGCGTTTTTCTAAGATCTAAAGATCTTAAATCTAAGGTCTAAAATACAAACATATTTAATAAATTGCAATAAAATAAGTAAATGCTAGGCTCTTGCACAAGACCAAGGCGCAAGACCAACTCGTTTTAGTCTTGGATTTGGACAACAATACATAAGACAAGTTTCAAGAATATAAAATATAAAACCTTCAAACTTCAAATAAGATATTTCCATTCATTCTATTAACTTTGTTTTGAATTCCTGAGGCTTGACTTTAATTTATTGGATTTTATGTTTAATGATTCATTAACAACCTATTTCTTATTTAGTTAGATTTGTCTTAATAATTGCTGAAAAAGGTAAAATAATGTTAAAAAATTAAATAGTTTGTTTCAACAAACAGATACATGCCTTAAGATGAAATAAGATGCCTTTCTTACCTGTCGCTGAGTATTGATTAATATTGATGATTAAACATACAAGATTACGATACATGTATTACGATAAAATCCTTTCTAACCTATCACTGATCAAGCCAAAGACTAAGGCTCCGAAAAATTTTCCGATTGCAACACTGATCTGAGCTGTTGATCTCAGGGCTAAGTCATCACAAACAAGATTCCACTGTTAATATAAAATTAATTACTATAATTTTGGAAATAACAAAAAAATATATGTAATCGAACATTTTTAATACGAACCTGGCTGACAATTGTCTGATGATAGGACTCTTCATTATAAATATAATTTTTACATTTCATTACGTCTGGTTTTTGTGTTTCATTGCAATATTTAACAGCTTCATCAAATTCCAAATCCTTCAATAACGAGTAATTCCAGGCATAATGAACGCAACTTTCTTTTTCCAACCTACAAGGTTAACAATATTCTTCGTAAAAGCTTTAGATTAACATTATCAAGAACGAATCAAGAATAATTAAATTATAACCAACGCTGGACTGCTGACTTCTCTCATTTGTTCCTTGGTCCAGTTCGCTTCAACTAGCTCAGGGATATTGCAGAAGAAAGAAGGATTTCCTCCAAGAAATATGTAAGATGCTAAATGTGTAGCATTAAAGATAGTTGGAGTGGACGTTAGAAACAATATCCATACTAACCAACGATGGTTTTTACATTTTTTTTTCTAAAGCATCTTCTAACTCTATTGGATCGATTTCACTGCTGTAAAATAAAAACCAGCCATAAATTAAAATATATATTGTAGTGTGAAAAAGTCTGCGAACAAAGCAAATAAAAAAACAAGATTCAATTTAAAAGTGTTCATATCTGCTTTATTATAAACTGATTTAACCTTGCAGTTTTTGTAGAAGTAATATATGGGATTGTCCCGAAACTAATGCAGGGTTTTGAGTTTTCTTTTAAATACTAAATAAGAAACCATTTACGTTTACTGCGTTATTCATTTTGTGAATGTCAACACTTATTAATCCTCTTCCAAACGATAATGTTTGGCTACTTCTGTAGCATTTCGCTGCTTAGAAATAATTCAGTCTTTACTAAGATTGCCTTCTTTAAGTATAATTTTGATTTAAGATTTTAATTCGGCCGGAATGGGTCCCAGGCTGTCAGAAACATAATAAAGTCTGGGGCGAGAGCAGCATTAATGAGTGTACTGTTCAACGTTGGTTCAAAGAATTTCAGGAGGAAAACTTTAGCCCTGAAGACAAAGAAGGTCATGGAAGGACTTCCTCTCTTGATGACTATGTTCTTATGGTTTTGGTTGAAGAAAACCCGAGAACAAGTGTTGGAGAACTTGAAAAGCACTTTAACCTTAGCAAATCGACTGTCGATGACCACTTCAAGACGATCGGAAAGATAAAAAAAAGCTTGAAAGTTCAGTTCCAAGCACATTAAACGACCGTTAAAAAAAGACCAGCGTTATGAAGTTTGTGCTACACTTTGCCGAAACAAAAGCGATTCTTTTCTGTCCATAATTGTTACTTGTGATCAATAGTGGATACTTTACGATAGCAGTAGACGTTCTGGACAGTGGCTCCACAAAGGAAAAGTAGCAGAACATTTTCCAAAGCCCCCAACAAATCTAAAAATGTGATGGTTACAGTTTGGTGGGCTACGTTTGGTTAGATACACTACAGCTTCTTAAATCCTGGAGAAACCATCAACGCCGAATCGTATTGTAACCAAATAAATACAACGCATGAGAAATTAGCAATAATGAAGCCATCTTTGGTCAAACGGATGGAGCCCATTTTGTTGCATGACAACAGCCACATATCTCACTCGTGACTTTACAAAAACTGTTGGAGCTTAAATATGAAACTCTGCCACATCCGCCCAACTCTCCGAATCTCTCGCCTACGGATTCTCATTTTCTTAAATCCTGGACCACTATTTACGTGACAAAAATTTAATGGATAAAGGTAATTAGAAAATTAGCCGTTCCGAAAATTCCGTTGTGTTGACGTTATTTTGTATCTTGAATATTGCTACTTTATTGTCCAAATTTTACTACTTTGTTATCCACTCCGGTCTTTATTCTTTATTCCCAACGCCATGGGCCGTTGTATAAACTCTAGTAAGCTGAGTGTATCTTTGGAAATTGTTCTAATATTGGAATTATCCGTTTTTTTCGGAAATTTAATTTATTATTCCAGATTTCATAATTTCTTCTTGCTTTCTATTTAATGTTACTTTTATGTCTACTTATTTTTATTTTTGACGGACATTAAGGTATAATTTTGCATCAATGATAATTTCCCATCAGAGAAAATGAAAACGAATTTGAAGATTATAGTTTTGGAACTCATTATGTCATCAAAAGTTACATTAAATAGGAAAAAGGAAATTACGAAATATAAAATGTTAAAATAAATTTCCGAAAAAAAAAGAAGGAAAATTCTAATATTAGAACAATTTTTCAGATATACTCAGCTTTCTAGGGTTTATACAACGGCTCTTGATGTTAAAAATAAAGAATAAAGAAAGAATTTGTTGTAAGTGAAATTTAGAATTATTCGGAGGATAGAAAAATGTCAACTTAACGAATTGGTCCTTTGGTTTGTTAATAATTGAAAATAACGATAATTTAAATATATTAAATCTACAGTATCTGCATGGCTAAGTCAGTTTACTATTAAGAAGATAAAACAGTTTTAAATTGAAACATTTCTGTAAAAATTTGATCTTTGTCGAATATCATTTCACGGCACGGTATATATGTTTGTAAGGTTATTAATATATTTATTAGACTTACCGCATAGTGTAGAGTCGATACTCCCTGACTAAAGATTATAGCAGTTGTGAAATCAAAGAAGTACTTCCCATGATTTTATATATTCCTTTATGTTTATTTCCTCCTCCATTCAATTCGATTCCCTGTTTAAGAAAATTTATTCCTTCAACGATTTCCATCAAACGATCATGGAGCAGTAAAGAATAATTACACTAATTTTTATTATTAACTGCATCAGTATATGGAAATATTATTTCTTATTTTGGTATGAATATTTGTAAATTTATTTATATCCTAGCCGTAATTGAATCTAGCCTAGTGAATTAGAAAATCATTTTGAATCACTATCCCATCAAGTTTGATGGATGAAAGGGAAATGGAATGAAAAAAATGTTTAAAAAAATTTAATATAAGTAAACAATATTGAAAATCTCCGAAACTGCAATGAAATTAAAAATCTGGTGCGCGCAACACACAACTTTCACTTACCGCTCTACTGTGAACAAGAATTATTTTCTGGCAATGCTAGACTATTATATAATTTTTGAAGTGCATTTTAAACGGTGCTAAAGCTTACAGATCAAAAATCATTAAGACCATTATAATTACAAAAAGTCTGTTTATTATATCGACGGTAGCTCATAAAAATCTAGTCACTCCATCTGCTTTTATAAACAACACAACTTCAGCCTCTGATTCTTTCAGTTGACAGAATGAGTAACTCCAATTTAAACATTTTTGAGTAATGTCATTTTTGTGATATTTCTAGTTGAAAAAGTTATCTATACAGACAGTGAGTAAGTTGATTCCAGAGTAGGTGATTCCAGTGTTGAAATATAGAATTTTGAATAAAGGTATAAATTTTGCCACTAGAAACATCACTAAAATTAATAATAAAGAATGTTGAAATTGGAGTTTGTCATTCTGTCAAGAGAAATTTCTTTATTAATTATATCTGAATATTTAACCTATAAATGATTATGGATCGTAGGGCTATTAGTTATTAATCTGTTATTTCCCATTGTAAAGTTTCCTAAAACATAATTACGATATTTTCATTGCTTTGCCATGGATAGGTCAAAAGTTGTCACACTAATTTGAAGTGGATAATGTTAGGATTTCACAAAGGGAAAATTCATCAAATTATTCACTAATTTAATTTTCAAAAAAGGTTACTTGTTGATTTTTTGTAATAAACTGTCGATAGATACCTAATTATTTAAATATAATATCTTATCTAGTGTTGATACTCTATAGTAAACATATTTGAGGTTATAAACATATCCATGAAATATTTTTATATTTCACTTCTTGTTTCACACAAGCACAATGGAATTGTATTTTAAACAATGGCATTGTCTTGATTAGATGGATTTTAAATAGTTTGTTTTCAATCTTAGAAAAAACATTAAAAAGCTTACATATAGTAAGAAAATTTCATTTAATTTCCTTGGAAACATGTGATTTACGTTAAGTAATGTTAGTTTTCTGACATTATTATTTATAATGTTTTCGCCACTCTCCTTTACCTTCTACAACATTCTATATTAGATATTGTTTTTTTCTATAATTTTTCGTTTTCCAACGGTATATTATACGTATACCTTTAGAATAGTAATTCCGGAGATTCATTGGATAAGAATTTTTGAATTTTTATTTTTTCTCCTTTATTCAATTATCAAATTCTTTCAAAAGTTATATTTAGAATTTTTTTGAAACTCTGAATAACTTGCGATGATTACTTTTTTAAAGAAACCGTACTAAAGGTACTTCAGAGGAAGACGTATATGGTCATTGGGCATTTAAACCGATGATGCTCTTCTGCGAAAGCTTAGAGACTTTGAAGAAAGAAGAGAGCGTTATGTCATGACGTTACTATTTGACATATCACTCGCTTTCGAAAACGTCTGGTGGCCACGCGATCTGCAACAGTTATAGAGATATGATATATCCAGAAACCTATATGTTCTTCTGAGAAGCTACCTTCAAGGACAGATATGTAAACATTAGAGGTAGATTTTACGAGATTGAGAGAATTGTTCATAGAGGATGTCCACAGGGCTCTGTTATTGGTCCAGCTATGTGAAACTTAGTTTTTGGTGAGCTCCTGGGGTTATTAGAAGAGCAGCTGATCCCAGCAACAGCATATGTTGACGACTTTGCCGCTGTAGTGGCGTTCGATAGCAGAGCAGGGGTCATACTGGAGGCAGAAAGTTGCGCTAACTTGATAGAAGAATGAGGATGGCTGCTGCCAAAATCCAAGCAATCCTTTTAAGGAGCACGACTGAGATGGAACATCCTATCGTCTTTGAGATTCAGGGAGAAACAATTAGTCTAAGTGGGGTGGTAACCTACCTTGACATAAAATTTGGAAGAAAGTTTAATATAACGCCTCACTTGGACTTCTTGGCAAACAGATTGACAGTCGTCCTAAATTGTCGTCATGTTGGTGGAGCTTTCTGGGGCCTTAGATACCTAGCGACCAAGGCTATCTAGAAAGGAGTGGTGCTGGATATATTAAGGAATGTATCCCCCTCATGGCACCTGAAACTTCCCAGCCGGAAGAAAGGCAAGTTATCATCTATCCAGAGAACGGCTCTGCTGCGGACCACCAGAGAATATAAGATAGTGTCTCACGAGGCATTGCACATTTTAGCAGAGAAGATACCCCTCGATTTCCTCTTGCAAGAAGATTTGATCAAATATCCCTTCAAGAAAGAAGGGTCGGCAGGTATTCGGATGGACCTTCGAGTGATGATGGAGAAACGGCCCAATAGATGGAAATCAACATTGAGAGAAGCTACCGCCGAAGAGTGGAACAGACGGTGATTACCACCACGAAGGGGGCAACCATCAGGAAATATTTTCCCACACAGTCCCGATTAGCAGCAAGATGGATCAAAGATCTTTTGGGTCTCTCAATTCCTCCGAAAATATCCGAATCTTTAATGTAATATATAAGTTTTACAAGAAAATTATCATTTTGATCCTGTATTGAAAGCATTAAAAAAGAATGTCGATGATGGAAGTGTATTTTTAAGAGATGAGAAGGAAAATATGACTTTTGAAGTTGAAAAATGTTTTTCGGTTAGAAGCGGATATATATACAGACCCAAACACAGCGTGGTGGCTGTTTTTGAGGATTGATAAGTTTAGATGATAAAAGGATTAATAAATCTGGGTTAATCTGATGTTTGAGGATGTATGGAGATTGAAGGAGATTGCAAACAAAAACAGGAAGATATAAATGGAGAAAGAAAATTATTTTATAATTTAATTATAAATCTTGGCTTATAAGTTAATTAATAATAGTTTATTAGTCAAAATATGAAAACAAACTCAGTTTAAGAGAAACAAGCATTTAAATGGAAGAATATTTCATTTGATTTGTTCAAGATTTTCAAAAACAGGTTGTTTTTTATGTTTCTTCATTTCCTTGATTGTATCCAACATTGGAGTATTTCTGGTCTCCGGGACAAAAGTCAACAAGAATGCACTGAGGAGTGCAAGCAAACCACAGAGTGTTGTGGGAATCCACCAGGCTTTCTTTCCCTGTAAAATATACCATATTTATTAGGTTCTAGTTTTAAAAAATGAATTTCTTTTAGTTTGTTTCAACGCGAAAAATCTGAGGCCACTCATTAAAGTATTATTCTGAATTCGGTTATTATGGTCATATTCCTACACTATTAGTGCCTCAAGCCATTAATTATATTAATATATAATGGTGAGCGCAATGTTGTCACAAGAAATTGTTTAAAATTTTATAATAATTAAAGGTACTAACTTAAGACCAAGTCCATTCAAAAGAGTGTATTTCTGGTTTGAATCTCAAAAACCAGGACTAAAAAAAATCAAGAGATGGGCAAGAACACCATTAACGGAAAAGAAGTATGAAAAGTGATTTGGAAGTGAGGAAGAAAGAGAGAGCCTTGGCCAGACTAAAAAAATGAAGAGGAAAAGATAAAAGGTAAACGTATTATATTTTTTAGTCATGTTAATGAATTTTCCTGTTTTTAAAAATATACATTTTTTGAACTTATAATTTTATTTTGTTTCTTGTTATAATTGTTTTCTATAAAAAAGAGCCTGTATACAATTGTTGCAAAGAAGTGTCTATTATTTGATCTTTTGAAAATATTGAGTTTCTATTACTGCTACAAAATCATGAGCCAGAATTTTCCAATTTTTGTATGAAAATGATGCAATCTGTCTGTCTTTTGAGAAAAGCCTAAATTTGCTTTCAATTAAATCCATTTGTGAAGATTCAAAACTAAAGCTGCAGTCCACATTAATGTTGATAAAATCTATATTGCTAGTGTCTATTACTGGTTCATTTACTTTAAATAAATTATAATATTCAGTTAGGTTAGGTATTAACCTTATTAAAATAGTCTGAATGCATTTAAAAAGATTCCTCTCACCTATCTTTATTTTAAAGTAATTAATTGTTTCCCAATGTTAGCAGGCGTCCAATTTATTCATTCGATTTTGATTTTCAGTATTATAATTGAATCAGATAAAACCACGTTATAATTACATAAATGACGTTTTACTAAATGTAACTGAAGAAATGAAGTTAAAAATTGGTAATAGATTTAGTTCTATTGAATACTGAACCTTGATACTGAAAACGCAATATTATTCAAAAGTTGTATTGCGCAATTTAAATGTACACTAAACAAAATTTCAGAAACCTTGAAGGAAAATAATTGCAGTAATACAATTCTGTGCATTTTTCGGTTTGTTAACCTTGAGGTAAATTTAAAAAATTTTCATTTAGTTTTCAAGGAAAAATTGAGATTTCATATAATGATATAAACATATAAATTATTAGTCATTAGTTTTTCGTTACTCTCCAGCATATTTTACAACATTATATTATTATTTTTTCTAAAATCCTCAGCTTTTCAACGAAATATAATACATATTCATTGCTACTCTTATTCCCAATAACTTCTTTTCAATCGAGAAAATGTTTCTCCTTTAGTTAATTATAATTTTTTTTCAAAGTTTATATCTAGCTATTTTTATAATTATTAATAAAATTAATAATCATTTATCAATGATAGGTCTTTAATTATTTTTAATGATCCCAATTATAGGTATCTTCGAGGAAACCACTTTGACAATTTGGCATTAAAGCCGTGTCAGACTATTTTCATCAAGATTATCTCTATCTCATCAATATCTCTCTGATATTTAATTTAATTGAATATAGATATGAAAAGATCAAGGGCAAACAAAATTATACGATCGGCATAATGGGAATCCCTCAAAGAAAGATTGTCAAACTATTGAGGTCAGCTGGCAGACTGGAAATATACACATATTCTACGAAGACATTACGAAAGAAAGGACAGGATACAATGTGCGAAATACACAAATGCGAGAAAAATATGGTATTCTGATGACATCAAGAGAAAAGATTCTGAGCATCTGGAAAAAACATTTCTAGTTGCTTCTCAATCAAATGGACGCCTCAAATGATGAAGACATGGATCACATTATGGACTTCAACCCAAACATGGTTGTGGCTGTGAGGTCTGGACACTAATCAGAGCCCTGAAAAAAGAACTGAAAGATTTGAAAAAAGAATTCTCCACACAATAACCGGAGCGATTTGGAAACAGAGTACTAACACATGGAGAAAAATATCCAATCAAGAGCTGTTTACAGAAACTGGTCAATCAAAATCTCATGATATGAAGGCAAGGAGGTCTAATATACATGGACGTGGCATGTAGCTCGGAGCAATTCGTCTTGAAGGTTCTACACGACAAAAGACCATGTGGGTGGCCTAAATCAGATGGATAGATTGAATCAACAAATATCCAATAGAGTTACATGCAGATATCTAGAAATAAATATCCTAAGATAGGCCAAAATCGAACAGACTTTGTATGGCAGCACGAAATCTACAAGATCTGTAATGCCAACAGAAAAAAAGAGGATATGACAGGTTTAATCAAAATTGTTAAAGGTGTTTTCGAAAAAAGTTGTAAAAAAGTATGAATGGTACTTCTAGTATATCGATTATAACGAAAAATATGTAATATTCCAGAAATATAACCATATATTTCTCTTATTTTAACTAGGCTATTAATATTCATAGATACACACACGAGCCATTTTGTGAGACATAGTTGTTTGGACTTTAGGGACTTTAAAACGTATATTTTAGTTAAAAACTCATTTTGAAATTTTATACAAGCGCAATTCTTTCCCTTATGTATATTAGGTACATAAGTAAGAGGTATAAAAACACTGTATATATGTCTACTAACCAATATATCCACAATATATGGCGCTAGTAGCGGTCCCAATTGTGACATAGTAACGCAGCTACCCATTGCTGTATTGCGATTTTCTGTTGGAAATAGTTCTAAAGTGTAAAACATAACAGCACCATACGCAGCAGCTCCGACAAGTCGCGCTGCCAGGGTCACACACATAATAGGCCAACCTAATTTAAAAAGGTTTTGTGGTTATAAAGTTAACAAGAAATATTTAAAAAAATATATAATAAAAAATAATTAAAATTTAAAATAAATACGACTTCAGAAATAATATACTAAAATAATCTACTGTCATATATAAATTGCTTCCTACAGTGGCCGATACCACGCCCTGATGAAGACCTACAAAGTGGGTCGAAACGTTGGCACAACGATTAAAATACTATTTTTACAATTTAGTATTTATTTGGCCGCACCCCCCGACCAACTCCTTCTTATACTAGCATACATCTAGTTAGATTGTTAGGAAAATTGACGTCTACGAATATTTAACTTGCTTTTGCAGTGGGGTGCCACCACCAAAGAAAGCTCTACTCCTTTGAATTTTGACATGCACCTGCATATTGGACGAAATCTAGTTACCTTGATCAATGATAAGTAAAGGAAACCACTCGACTACTACAATTTTAAATATTCGTAGGCTTATGCATTTTCCCTAACAATCTTCTAAAGTGTTTAAGTAGATGAGCGAGTAAGCAGTGCTAGACTTAGACATTCAGCGCCTCCGGGAAATTATGGCATCCCCCCTCCCCTAAAAAAAACTTAAATTTGTTTCTTAAGCTGTTTTATATTATGTAATATTTGAGTTTCATTTCAAATCAACTTGTTTTATTGATAGGCTAAAATTAATTATTTTAATACGTTTTGTATTTTTTTTTTTATAATTTCTAAAAAGTGCGAGCGCCCCTGATGATCTATAGATAAAAAAAGTTGTAATTTGCTAATAATGTGTAAATATTCTAATAAAGTTTAATTGTAAATAATTTGTTTTGGCGGGAATGGCGAATAGCCTTCGGCTTTTATATCGGGGAACTAGGTTATTTACACTCGTGAATATTAAGGCAAAACCCCGCACTGGATATATAGACTTCTTGAGGGTGTTTAACGGTTTTTGGGAATTCGGTAACCTAATACTTTCGTGACACTGAGTGAGAAGAAACGATAATAATATATATATTGTGAGACTTAGTAAATACACTTTGAATGAATTGACTCACCTGGTTTGTCATTCTTCAATCGTGAGGTATATAGGAAAACTAAATAAAATTTTAGACTTGAAAATGGCTCGACGAGCCGAAACGTCGTCATTTTGATGAGTAGTCATTAAGTGACAACAAATTTTTTTTAAATTGGTGTAAATATGGCTATAATAAATTAACTTGAAAATAATAGTATGCACCGAAGAAGAATTGAGTAATATTGTGAATATTATTAACTGGGAGGCCTAACAACGACCCAGAAAACATGCCGAAGGATGAAGTATGGAAGAATTGGAAATTTACAATTGTGAATACAATAAATGGTAATGTAAACCTATCATGTACTTATAAATTTCTTAATAATTTTTCAAAAATTTTAAGGATAAATAATAAATTATTTTATTTAAAAAAATGTAAATACTCGGACACGATACCGCAACACTTGCTGAAAAAAATTTTACCTTTGGAAAATCTTTTTAATACCTCATTTCTGATAAATTATAAAGAAAAAACAAATAACTTATTTAATAAATTAGCAAGAGATTGTTTACTACTTGAAATAAAACAATGTTATTGGGCATTAAACACCTATAACAAAAATCATGAAATATTTTTAAATGAATTAAGGGACATACATATGAACATATATAATGAGGTTAATAAACTAATTGCGAATTACAAAAATAGTTATGTTAAATTCCATAGATTGAGATTAGAAGAGAAATGTAAAAGACCATATAAAGCCTTTATTAAAAAACCATACGCTGATATTAAATATAATAATACGGTATCCTTTATGACTAAGAATTTGGACAATAGACTCACAAATAAACATTGTATAAACCGTAATAACATCATAAAATCCTATGAAGAATTGCACACAAAAGGTTGGGTGGTTAATACGACTAAAACAGATATTACAACAAACATATTAAATCTATTATCATTAGGGGATAAATTCAACATTATACCTTATAAATACAACAGGGAAATAGTTAATATAATAGCGGACGTCGAAAATATAATTAGAACTATCAACACACCTGATAATCACAAAAATATAATTAGAAATAGAGTAAATAACCACATAAATGATTTTATTGACAAAAACAATAATAAACAAAATATCTCAAACCAACCCCTACACAAAAAAATAAACATAGACATAATAGAAACAAAAAAATTTTTTAAAAACCATCCAGAATTATTAATTATAAAATCAGATAAAACTAAGAAAACCGTGATTATTACTAAGACTGAGTATGATAAAAAAATGCACAACCTACTGGATGAACGCCTAATATATAGATGCCTTAGGAAAGATCCTTCAAATGAAATCCAGGATAAAACCTTGACATATATAAATAAATTAATGAAAATGAAATTTATAAATGAAAAGGATAAAGAAAAACTCATAACTAGACATTATACTATACCGCGAATACATGGTCTGAGCAAATTACATAAAAATGACGGACCTCTTAGACCAATTGTAAATAATATAAATGGCATTACTGAAAAATTGGCTAAATTCCTAAACTCAGCCTTAAACAACTTAAACAATAATAATATATACGATGTGAAGAATGCAATGCAAGTAAAAGAAAAAATTAATAGTATAAATAGGATAGAGGAAAACGAAAATCTAGTAAGCTATGACGCGGAATCCCTTTTTACGAATGTTCCACTAAATGAAATATATAGAATACTGGAAAAACGGTGGGATGAAATAGAACCGTACACAGAAATAAAAGATAAAAACGTTTTTATGGAAGGAATCAAATTAATTTGCGAAAATGGCTATTTCTCCTATAATAATAATTATTACAAAATGAAAAATGGTCTACCGATGGGCGGATGTATGTCAATCAATCTTTCGGGCATATATCTGAACAATCTAATAGATAATGCTATAATTAAATGGGGAAAAAAACCGAAGCTTATTATAAAATACGTTGACGATATACTTGCAATAATAAATAAAAATGAATCTGTTAATTTTCTGGATAAACTAAATTATATATCAGATAAACTAAAATTCACAATGGAATTGGAGAATAACAACAAAATAAGATATCTTGATATGTATATTCACAGAAATGAAAGCGGCGATCTTAGCACGGCATGGTGCAAAAAAACAATAACTAGTGATAGAATCCTAAACTGGCACAGTAACCACAAGAAACATATAATAATTAACACAGCTAAAAATTTAATAAATAAGGCAAAATTAATAACAGATCAAAACCATATAAAAGAAATCAAAGCACAAATATATCAAATTCTATTAGAAAATTGGTACCCCATTCGATTAATTAATAAATTATGGTATGAAAATAAAAAGTTAATTATAAATGACAATAGTAACAAACAGATTATTGACATTAGCAATGATAGGAGTGAGAAAGTGAAGCAAAATATTAAAATTAATAAAGAACCGAATTTAATAACAAATTATTTTAAAACTGAAAATGCAGTAAAACAAAAACCTTCCATGAACGATATACATGACATTAAGACACAAATTGAAAAATGTAATGGGAACAAACAACAACCTAAAAAATATTTTAGCGTCTCATATATTAGAAACTTAACTGATAAAATTGAAAGAACATTTAAACAATACGATGTAAATGAAATTAAATTTGCAAGCAAACCAATTAATAAATTAGATACAATTTATTCGAAAACTAAAGATAAAGTACCTATCGATAAATTAACGAATATTATTTATAAAATAAATTGTAAGAATTGCGACAACAAAGCATATTTTGGACAAACATCCCAATGGTTTGAAAAAAGGCTTAAACAGCATAAACAAAATTGTAATTCAAAAAACACAAAAATTAAATTAGCTACTGGACTCTCACAACATAATATGCAAACTAAACATGAGTTTGATTTCAAAAATGCCAAAATCCTACATAATGAAAGAAATACGAATAAACGTAGAATTAAAGAATCAATATACATAACTAAAAACTTAAAAAACTCAGTAAATAATCATACAGACGTGGATAATATGAATACTTTTTATGCTAGTTCTATTGAAAAAATCAAAATTTGAAATAAATCAGCTAATATTACTTAAAATAGATCCACATGTAATATTGAGTAACAGCATTATATATGTTCATAATAAATAATCTTCCCCTACTCCTATAAGAATAACCAGTCACTGAATAGAAATGAGATGGATGACATGTGGGTGAGTCAGAAACATGGTAAATTTAACTTATTTTGAATCATTTAATAGTAAAGATGAGTAATAATAATGTTGTTAAATAATTAAAGGTGAACATGACAATAATAATGAATTTTATTATATTGTAGACGCTTGCAATTCGCATAAGTGAAAATGACAGGTACATGATGGGTAGTTTAGGTACATAATAAGTATCTTTATAATTTGAAATATGTTAAAATTTAATATATGATTGTAAATGAAAAAATTTTTTTAGACTTGAAAATGGCTCGACGAGCCGAAACGTCGTCATTTTGATGAGTAGTCATTAAGTGACAACAAATTTTTTTTAAATTGGTGTAAATATGGCTATAATAAATTAACTTGAAAATAATAGTATGCACCGAAGAAGAATTGAGTAATATTGTAAATAAATAAATGATTTTTCACTCCTGTATAACAAAATAATTTATTTCTACAACTGTAATAAATTGACTCTATTAAAGTGTTATAACTATAGACTTGATCTTCTAAATCTTGTAGTAGACTTCTCTTTCCAGGTACGTCGTTCCGCCTCAATGTCTCAGCCTCAAGTGCCTTCTCCTCTCTTCTCCGGCGTCCTCCTCCAGCTGTTGCTACCTGCTCCGTCCTTTTTTCGACATCCTTCTTCATCGATTGTTTATCGGTATGAGACTTTTCAATGAATAATTTGTCCACTGCATAATTGAGTACAATTCATCGTGCAACCTCACATTCCTATATATTCTTTCTCATTCCCTCACACAATGTCACATAAAGGAGTAAATACCGGAGGATGTCTACCAGAAATGGTTGGATTTAGATTTTTTTTTCTTCGAATGTTCGATTACTTTCGAAATAACTCGCCATACGTACGCTTTCTGATCTATAACCATTAACAAAATTTTTTTTTTGTCATAATTATTTTCCTGATCTTTCTAGAAAATGCATTACATATATGAAAACTAAAAGGCCTTGTTTCTAAAAATTCAATAAATGGTTTTGTGGTGAAATGTTTATGTATTTATATTCTATAAAAAATACAAATAATGCAGACAGAATCAATAAATAAGTGTTAATACTTAGATGGTGTATATATTATTATTATTGATGAAAGAAATATTACCTTGTGGCGTCACTATTATTCCAAACATTACGAACCCAGAAACAGTCCACAGGGCTATCGAAGAACTCTTCCTTCCAAAATATGCAAAGCAGAGAAGAGGAAGCAAGAAGCCTGGAAGCTCGACAACTCCATTCAGTGCAATGTAAAGATATTGGTTGACTTCAAAGATAGAACCGCTTAATGCTAAGAAGAGAATCATTAAGAATTCATAGTATGCATAAGTTTTCAGAATAAAAATAGATTTATATATTATATTATTATGTTAATTATTTTATTAGGATAAATTTATAAGTGTGTGTATGTTTTTCCTTTCTTTCTTTATCCTCAGATTTGAAATCTGTATGTAGTTCTTCTCACACTATTTTTAATGAACAGATGGCTTTTAGGTTTTACATCGATTTAAGAATCTGAGTTATTTAGTATCGTAAATGTTAAGGTCCTGAGCCCAAAACTTATATTCAGAAATGAAGACTCCAAGCAAAATTACTGACTATCGGATAGTAACAAAGTAAGATTAACACTTTTTCTTAATACATTTTGTTTTATTTTCCATTTATTAATACATAGCATTAAAACTATATTTTATAATAAATATTTAGTGGCAAATATTTTTATTATGAATTTTCTAGATTTCTGGCGGAAAAAAAGTTTCTATCATGGATTGAGTGGGGCATCCGATATGTTTTTATTTTGGGCAAGGATCGTCTTAGTTACTGGTTTACAGCCTTCAAGCTCGAAGTGTTGCAGAGAGATGGATTCTCGCCGATACTGTCCGATATTAAGTTTTTGTTGGATGTTATTATACGTGAAAATGAAGTAGTGTAGGTCGGAATGAATCATATCTTCCTTGGCACATAAAATGGCTGTTCTTGGCTGTTGGAAGCGATTAAGAGGATAGAGCAAGCTGACTGCTGGATTTAGGATTTGCCCATGCTGAAAGACTAGCTAATTAATTCGTTATGCGTTATGTAATCGTTATGTAAAGCTATGGTCATACCAGAGAGCTCCTGTTATAAGTCGTAAAATTTTGGATTGAAAAGACTAGTTTTTGTAAGTACGTCTTTTTTGCCGAACTGTAAATCTGAGAGTCGTATGTCCAGATGGGTTTGAGTAGGTAAGTGTATGTATTTAGCTTTTTTCGAACTTTCAATTTCGATTTAGAAAACAGTGAGCACAGTATTTTCAAACGTTTGTTTAAAGTCTGTCGTTTCATTTGTGAGTTGTGGCCCCAGGTCATCCTTCTGTCGAATATTAATCCAAGGTAACGTACTGTGCTTGTCTGAGGAATTTGGTTCTCTCCTATATAAACTGGTGTGTACATTTCTCATCGAAGTGTAAATGTTAAATGTTGTGACTTGTCAAGATTTAATCTTATTTTTCAAAGTGAGTACCAATTTTGTAAAGTCAGTAAGTGATTTTGTAAATTCATTAAGGCTAGCCTGGGGTTATGGTGTTTTGTTGAATCGTCAGCGTAGGTTTCGGTTAATCTTTTGGAGTTGATAGGTATGTCATGCGTATATATAATGTAGATTCAAAGGAACCAGGACTGAATATAATTAATTGCATATTTACTTAAACAAATTTGAGGGCTGTTTGAGCAAAGAAAAGAAAATTATAATCAATTTTAACATATTTTATTCAGAAATTAATTGAACAACTAAATTTTTACTCATTAGTTGTTTTACAAAAATCAATTATTCATTTTACGTTAGTCGTGACTAAGTAATATAAAGTAATTCATTAGTCGTGAATTTTTTTATGAATTATGATTTAGTTTTCATTCATCTTTTCATCCAATTAGTTGAATTGGATAATTTTACCCAACTCTAGTCTCAGTGAATGCTGCATGGGTTCTACTTGGAGTCGAAAACTGGCAAGTTGTAGCAATTTGTCAAATATTATTCATCTGAACTTAATTTGGATTATTTGTAGTTTCCAATTTTGGAATTACTTGCTAAAATCCAACTATTTTTTGCTGTGGTTAATATGGGCTTTACTTATAATTGAATAATGGACCGCAAGAGTTCCCTCATTTCAACATTTTGTTAGATCTAACGAATCAAAGCAACAGCTAAAAATTTATACATAAAAATAGAGAATTCTTCAACAGTCTGTGAGTATAATGAAAAATAGTAGGCCAGTTAAATTGGTTACATGTGTTAGTTATGAAGAAATGTAATAATAACCAGATGAACAGAGTCTTACCTATTGTGTAGTAGTATAAATTTCCAATAGACCAAAGATAATAGCATATCAAAGTTCTTTTGGTCAGTTCAGGTGTTGCGAAAAGTTTTATGTAGTCCTTGAAGAAAAAAAATACATTCTTCCAGCATGAATTAGATTTTCCCTAAACATAAAAAAATAGATATATCACAGTTGTTGCTGGATGAATATATGATATTAAAAAACATTAATTACAATAAATTTTATGTTATAAAAATAACATTACTTTAAAACTAGAAAGGGCAGGTTGATTAGCCTCATTAGCACCTAAGAGTGCCACGTTTCCTAGGAAATGAGAAGCCTTTTTTAATTTTCCTGAAGTTACCAACCACCTTGGTGATTCTGGAAGGAACCTGTTGAATAAACAAAAAAAAAAAAAAGACGTAAGTAGCAGAGCTCCGTCAATGAGGTCCTATTTTCTTTTTTATTTATTTTTTTTATTGAAAAATTATGAAAAGGGATTAAATGATTCCATTATTCCTCAAAAAAGAAATAAAAACATTGTAAATAACTACACAACAGTTTATTATTTTCTAAAATTTATAAATCAAATGTGCATAGCCCCACCCACGACATTCATCACCACAAAAAGGAACATTTGCTCTCTGAGATTGAATCATCGTTTTAAAAATATTAATTTTTTTTATACCTCCTGACGTTTTGGTTCTCTTTAATCGTTTACTTCTCTCAGAGATATCCTGGAAGCACGTGGTTTTCAATATCTGGAACGTGATCACAATCACTCTCTCTTCATCAGGCACTTTCCTGAAGGTTGGTTGCCAACTCTTTTCAGAAATCTCCACTCGGCTTAATGTAAACTCCTAAAGTCTTCGAACCCGCTTTGTCCTTTATTATAGACGAGGGCACTTCGCTTGGTTTGGACTTAGTGTGGTAACTTCCTTTTGCGTAGTTTAATATATTTTTCATTCTGAGCAGTAAGTGGTACATTACACGGCGGTATATTTCCTTTTGAGAAATAGTTGAATATCTAATAGTGAAACTTATTCCGTATCATGAGGTTGACACTCAGAAACTACGTTATGTTTACTATTTGATTTAGAGAAACCTTATTTAGATTTAGTCGTATTTGATGTCTGGCAGGAAGTATTGTTTTATCTTTAATTAATTTAATACATACATATGTATTTTTTAAGCTGTTTGAATAATTAATTATGAAACAAACTTTATGAAATTTCCCGTAGATTTATAATTTTGAGATATCAAAAAATCAAGTTAAGGAGATAGAAGTTTCAAAGGAACAAATATATAAATTTCCGGTTTAAAGTGCAACAAATGGTCAGATTTTAATGATTATTTTTGTTTTGTCTGAAATAATTTCATCTTAAAAACGAACACGTAATTGATCAACGAAAAATATAGAATTTAAGAATGTTTTATCAAAATCTTTACAGCCGTTTTAGATAACAAAAAGGGTTTTTCGGCGCCAACTTGAAAGAAAATGGCGCCTATCGTTGGGAACCGCCTTCCACTTTCACTCTTCCACTTCCACTCTTTCATACTGTGAAAGTAACTTTTTATTGTCAAATAAACAACAATTATTAATAATAAGAGAGGTAAATAGTCTTTATATGAAATATTTAAATTTTTTATTATATTTTCTCTAGTAATTATTTTTTATTTATTTACTTATACTTATCGTTGTCAGCGATAGCTTTAGTCAGATACAGAGATAGCAAAGGCCTTATATATAATAAATAAAATAACAAAATATAAATACAAATTGTGAAAAACTTACAGAAATAATTAATACAAAAAAATCTAAGTGTACTAGTTGTATTAGAAATTTCAAAAGTATAAAGAAATAAAAGAATAACATATACACTTGAATTTACTGAATATAAATAATTAAAAAAAAATTATAATCATGTTATCCTGAAATTATCTATAAATTATCTTATAGCAGAAGTACAGAATAAGGAAGATAATTATATTTTAAAAATTATATGGTGTATAAAAAAAACAATAAAACGTCACTTTATTTGGTTACTATAATCGACTTGGTTATTTGGACCTCAAAACGTGTATTTCCGTTGAAAACTGCGTTTTGAAATGTTTCAGATCGCAATCATTTTCATATTGGTAAGAGGTAAAATGATTTTATTTAGGCCCTTAAATTTTTATTTAAAAAAATACAAAAATTACTTTATCAGAGCATTTGAAATGTTACTGAAGCTTAAGTTTTATTGAAGTAATTTAAATAACTATGAAATAATTAAAAAAAACTGATACCAGCAATGGATGAGTAGTGCAAATATTGGGACGGAGATAGCTAATTGAAGTTGTCTCCAATTATTGGTGAAAGAAGCGGCCAATGAGAGAAACACAAGCCCAATTGGAAAAGCTACATTGAATATATTTCCCACATACGCTCTGTAATTCTTCACTGTTAGTTCCATTACTGCAAAACAAATGTTTGATGAGTACAGATATCATTAATAAATGGTAATTACAATTTTTTTTTTAATATATTTTATATATATATATATTATTTAGAAATATAGAAATATAATAATCTGTCACGTGGACAATAATTATAGTCAGATATGAACACACTCACACCATATGTACAAAAAACATAAAATTAACAAATGTAAAATAATAACTGAATAATAATCAAAAACTATGTACAATAAAAAATAAAATAACCTAAAGATAAGTAAATTAAAAACACAATCATACCTATTATATACAATCAGGCAAGGAATCCCAAGCCAGGCTTTTTTGATTCTTTGGTTAATTGGATTTAGAAACAAATAAAACTGATTTAAAATAATAAATCCATTATTTATTAAACTAAAGTATAAATGGGGAAATTAATTAACTTTTGAGTACATTTAAGAGGTATCAAAAACAAGATAACTCAATGCATCTTTGGATATTAGGCACACCAATCCTCTGAGAACATTGAAATGTCCTCCTCAAAGCTTTCGATTAAAAAAATAAGATCATTGACCTATTGATTAAGAACTGGAAATGTTATATTCAGAGAAAATGGAAGAATGTCTGACGAAAAATGGATTAAAATTTACAAAAAATACAAAACTGTAATTTATTAAAAACCAACCCAATAAAAAATAATAAGATTTAATACAATCTTGCAAGCAATCCGATAATTATTATATTCAGTTTAAGATATTGAATAGAAAATACTTACGGACTGTGTACCCAGAGTCATAGGCTCCAGAACCAGCGATTCCAATGAGCAGCCTAAATAATATAAACATTCCATAGCTATTTGCAAAAGCCGCTGAAGGGGCCACTATCATGTACATTATACAAGAAAATGCAAATGTCTTCTTCCTTCCAAACCTAAACGACATTTCAAAAAATTGCTATGATATTGCTTTATATGATACAATGTATGATCCTTTATAAAATTGTAAGGAGTTTTAAGTAAAAATGGAACACTTAAAATGAAGTTCCCAACTATTTTGTAATATACAGGTGTTGAAACTTATGCCTTATACATTCAATTGCCAATGCTGGTATTGGTGGATGATTAGTAAACAATAAAGGAAAATTAATTTCAGAGAAAAGTTTTGGGACATACAGGAGTGCCCATTCCCTCCAAGGTCAATGACGCATGAACCTCTCCATTCCAAGATATATTTATGCTCTCCTCTTCTTAAAAAAAAAACTAGTGAAAAATTTAATATCATATAGGTACTATTATACTTAATGTGGTTTGTTCCGTGTTTTCCTCCTGGTTTGAAAGTTTTCCTTATGAAAATTTATAACCCCGAGGAAATGTTCCACCTAATAAGCTCAAAACTCTATTCAAATGCGCTATCTTCAAAAATTTTAATGGCACATCTTGCGTCATGAAATCCCTTTCTGGGCGCTTCTATTCTGCTGGCAATGATGTGATAGAAGACGAAACTCTAGTATAATAGCATATGTTAAACATCTATAATAAGAATTAAAAAAATGTATGTTTGGCCTTCTAAAATCTCTTTCTCATACAATAAAATATTAACATATTTCCAAAGTTCTTGGGAAAGATCCATATATATATATATATATATATATATATATATATTTACTAATTTTTTATCTTGTCCTAAATGTCGTTCAGCTCTTCTCTGATCACATGTCCTGCCAGGCTTTCATCCATTTTCTCTTTCCATTTTACCTTAGGTCTTTCTTTATTCCTCCTTCCTTCTACTTCCAATTCCATACTTATTGCTGGAAATCTTTCTGCAGATATTCTTTTAAAATGTACAAACCACTGTAATCCTTTTTCTTCAATATCTGCTAGAATGTTTTTTTTTTTTTATCTCCATCAGTTCCAGAACTGTTTCTTTTTGTTTTCTTTCCCATTTGGATATTCTCTCTGCCCTTCTCCAAAATGCTACTTCTACAGTTAGCAATATTTTTCCTGTATCTGGCATTAATGACTCATGTTTCTTAGGAATATGTCGTTATAGGCTTGAATACACATTTGTATATTAGCCTCTTGTTACTGGGCTATATACTGCAGTTCCAAAGGATGCCGTTGAACACGGGCGGATCTACGGGGGGAGGGCTTTTGGGCTGAAGCCCCTCCCCCTCCAAAATATAACCATGTTTTATCGAAAAGCATATTGAAAAATTATCTCTCGAAGTATTATTGCTCGTGTAATTACATTTAAAAGGGTTTTAGGAATCACTTAAACACCATTTCATATAGGTAGTTAGTTTCTTTCTTTTTTCCAGAGTAATTATCGTTATTTTTACGAAATTAAAGCTTTCGGGCTGAAGCCCCGTTGAGCACTGCTGTGACCTTTCTCTCTTCTCGGGTTTTCCATTCTAAATCATTAGTATAGGATCCTCCAATATTGAATATTGAAGATATTTGAACATATCCACTGTTTGAATACATTTTAATAAAAAATAAATAAAATATAAAAAAGTATCATTTTCAAATTAGAATCATATTGTATTAGTCACGAATAATAACCAGAAAATTATTCATTAATCATGATCATTTTCATAGTCAGTGGTTCAGACACATTTTTATTAAATTATTAAGATCCGCCTTAAACTTCGTAAATATTTATATCTCATTGTAACCTACAAATATTTTATATACGAAAATTCACGGAATTAGGGAGTTTTCAATCTGGAGATCCCTTTGTCCATTTCATTAGCTACTAAAAACCCATGAACACTTAAATCATATGATAATGTGATCACAAAATCGAATAAAAACGAGACTTTCAAAAATTTTCGTTTGGCGAGACCTCTACCCCCACTATGTCAAAATAATGAGGTTATACAGGACAAATGGCTCAAAAGTTTTGAAGTCCACATTTTTTTTTTTTTTTCGATTTTGTAGTAATATTATATTACGAATCAAGTGGAAAGCAAATGGGTATTCATGAGCTTTTAGTACCTAATTAATTTGAAAAAGTTGGCCGATCTCCAGATTGAAAACGCCTCAATTATGAGAATTTTCGTAAATAAAATATTTGGAGGTTACGATTAAATGAAGCTATATACGAAGTTTTAGGCGGATGTTAATAATTCGATAAAAAGGGATCTGTGCTACGGACTAACAGCAAACAATAATCAATAAGTAATCTATTAATTTCACCACTTAAATAACTACAAAAATATACAGTCATTTCAAACCTGTCACTAATCAGGCCAAAGAACAAAGCTCCAAAAAATTTCCCTACTGCAATAGTTCCCTGAGCTGTTGATCTGAGGGGCAAATCATCACAAACCAGATCCCACTGATACAAAATATATAAATTAATAAGCTGTTTTAAACTATTAAAATGTTTATAGTCGGGCTTGAGCATATTTTAATACATACCTCACTGACTATTGTCTGGTGATTTGTATCTTCATCATAAATGTAATTTCTACATTTTACAACATCTGGTTTTTGTCTGGAATTGCAATAACTAAGAGCTTCATCAAAATTCAAATCCTTCAGAAAAGAATAATTCCAGGCATAATGAATGCAACTTTGTTTTTCCAATCTGCATATTCATAATAATGCATTTTAACATATAAATTATTTTTGAGAAAAATAATTGCATATCGATAATGAAATTAATAAAAGTAATCTTTCAACCTACCCAGGACTGCTGATTTCTCTTATTTGTTCTTTTGTCCAATTCGCTTCAACTAGTTCTGGGATATTGCAGAAAAAAGACGGGTTTCCTCCAAGAAACACATATGAAGATAAATGAGCAGAATTAAAAACTATTGGGCTGGCTGTAAGAAACAATATCCATCCTAACCAAACATGGTTTTTACATTTTTTTTCTAAAGCATTTTCTAATGATACCGGGTCCATTCCACTGCTGATAAATGAAAACTGGTTTATAACATTATCTGACTGTGACAAAATATTCAATAAATAAAAATTCTATTAAGATCAAATATTTATGCTAAATAGAATAAGCAATTTTATATGAAAAATAGGTCATTTCTTTATGGATCCGGATGACAGAATTAAGAAAAAAAGAAAGGAAACAACAAATGACATTTTCATATACGAAGTATATCAAGTTGAATTGTTAAATATTGTCACTAAGATGGATTAGTATGCTGCATCAGTTAGCAAATCAACACAGTTGTGCTTACAATATTACTTTATTGTAGTTCTCTCAAGTATTTCGAATGATATATAGGTGATTCTACGAAAGTGACTTTTTTGTAAATGACAAAAATATTGTTCTGGTTACAATACAATACAGGTAAAACTTCCTTATCTGATTCTTTCTTATTATTCCATGGTACAGACCCCTTTTTATCAAATTATTATGATCCCCCTGAAACTTCACAAATAGCTTCATCTCATCGTAAGCTATATTTTATTTTATTTACGGAAATTCTCGGAATTGGGCGTATACAATCTGGAGGTTGGCAAACTTCGTCTATTTAATTCGATACTAAAAAACTCTACCTATCTAATATCTAACCATTTGCTTTCCAATTGAATGTTATGAATATCAAAGATAATTTGATAAAAAAGATGGCCTACAAAAATCTTGGACCGTTTGGCCTAAATAAATCTCGTTTTGACAATTTGGTTGTGTAGGTCACGCCAAAAGGCTCGACATTTTTTAAGGCCACCATTTTTTTCGACTTAGTGCTTAAATTATCTTACGATCCAAGAGAAAAACAACTTTCCAGATTTCCTTACAAAAACTTCAACGTTAACGTTTTTCAAACTCCTTCCAAATCATACAAAACGGATAAATAGTTCTTAAAAATATCTTCTTTTTTTTTTATGAAATGTTTTCCAGCAAATTCGTTAGTACAATGTACAAATGTATTGGATTAGGACAAAAAGAATAAAAACATTACTTTTGATGTTCCTCTCAAATGTTAGTGTATTCGAAGTTAATTATTAGAAAAATTGGTCATTTCTATTAATTCTACCAAAAATATGTCGAATATTGTGCCTAAACTAAGTGGAACTTTATACTGATTTAGTCTCATTATAGAATCGATTTATAGTCCATGGTTCAGATCCCTTTTTATCAAATTATTAACATCCGGTAAACTTCTTAAATAGCTTCATCTCATCGTAGCCGACAAATACTATATATAGGAAAAACCTCGGAATTGGGGAATATTCAATCTGGAGATCGGCAAATCTTGTATTCTTAATTATGCACTAAAAACCCATAAATACCCATTTGCTTTTCTCTTGGATCGTAAAATAATTTAAGCACTAAGTCGAAAAAGATTGTGGCCTTGAAAAATGTCGAGGCTTTTGGCGTGACCTACACTCCCAAATTGTCAAAACGAGGTTATTTAGGCCAAACGGTCCAAGATTTTTGTAGACCATCTTTTTTATCGTGTTTTTTTATCAAATAATCTTTGATATTCATAAGATTCAAGTGGAAAGCAAATGGGTAGATAAATGAATAAAAAAATGGGTAAATAGACGAAGTTTGCCAACCTCCAGATTGAAAAACCATCCCAATTCCGAGAATTTCCGTAAATAAAATATTTGTAGGTTACGATGAGATGAAGCTATTTTTTTAAGGGAAAGCAGAGTTGAGATTTGTATTTCGCATCTCTGTAAAGCCTCAAATACGAATTTTCATAGAAATAAAAGAAAAAACTTTTTTGCACCAAATAAAAATGGGATAAAATAAAAATGACTCCACGTATTTTTATTTTTATCAAATTTTATTCCTGAATTATTCCTGATTAAGAAGACGTGATGGCTATAGTCAGTATTCTAACCAATAGGTTTAATTTAATTTTCTTAAATATTTAAAAAAATAACATACCTTTTTATTTATATATTAGGTAATTCTCTAAAAAAAAAAAAAAAAACTACCAGTCACAGTGCTCAATGTTTTAGAATTAATAATATAACTCTTAAAATAACTATTAAAATAATGGGTGCACTGTGTTTCACCTACAACGCTCCTTCTGATATTATAATTAAAATAAGAATGAAAGGAATAGTTAAATATTAAGGAAAAAATAAGGAATAAGAAAACTGCATTTGCATGCAATTATATTTTAAATATTATAACACTTATCATTGCAAATAAGATGTTGTTAGTTCCATCAAAGAGAATCTTTTTGTTGAATATGTATGCAGTATAATAGAATCGGTCAAGGAATCATCAATATACATATATAAAGTTATTTATAGCAATTTTAATTAATTAATCATAGTTTAACAATAAAAGTAACAAACACTTACATGTCTTAAACACTTCCTTTACTTTTATGGCAACATTTTTTCCTTCAAATACATTCAAACAAATCATACATCCGTATGAAAATGTGCATTGCTAAAATCTCTAGTTCCATCCAGTACAAAAAGAGCACAAACTGATATTAAGTTATCATTTGTAAATTTTGTATTGAATATCATTATATTATTATGGATAGCAATTTGATTCAACTTAGTTTATTATTTTTAATGATGAACCATAGTAATCGAAAGAAAAAATCAAAAACTTAAACTCACCTTAAAATTTGTGGTTTTACATTTAAGGATACGTAGAAACCAGGAATCAGAAATCGAATAAAAATAATTTTGTCTGTCCGCCGTTCGCCGTCCACCTTACGCCTTTTCCGAAAAAAAAAATGAGCCGATTGCGCAATTTTACATTAAAAATTCTAAAAAAATCCTACTTATTCTTCGAAACAAACTTTTTATGGGCTCATTGTGCTATTTTATTGGCCCCCGAAAAGCGGATAAAATTCACTACGAAAATCCAGGGTACTCACTATCTCGGTCCTATGATGAAATAGAGTATATAGGAACATGTTGATCATATCCCACAAAATACGTGGAAAATCACTGGTCTCATAACCAGGGAAAGTAACTGATTTTTTTATTCCACTGGCCCAATATATGTGTTTACTATGAATTTTTTTTTTTATTTATATTATTTATTCTTTTTGCCACATACAATGTGCCGATAAAGTGCATTGTGAAACCTATTTTAGGAACATGCCAGCAATCATTCTTTATTTACAAAATATTTTTAGACATAAGCAAATTAGCTCGTGTTAACATTTTTAAAAATTAACAGGCAACTGCGCAGCTTGCTCAAAAACCTTTGGTCCAGAAGAGAAAAAGAAATATTTTAAACTAGTAGGCCCGTGCGAAAAATTCGCACAGCATATTGTTATGAAATGCCAAATTAATAAGAAAATAAAATAATGCAACGTATTAAAAGATAAAGGAATCAATTGTTACTTTATCCATAAATATAATCGACAAAGGGAACTAACTTAATTTAAATCTTCATTTTTGTTTGGAACCAACATATTTAAAAATTACAATAAGCTGCATATTAGCGAAAAATTGTCCGATTTCAATGATTTGCGTTGCCATAGGAACGCGGTTTGTCTTTCTATTTCATTTTTCCCTCTGCTATTCACTGTATGATTCATAACCCATCAGGATTTTCTCCTAATTCAATGAATCAATAATCTTTGGAAAACTGATTTATTACTCTTCAACACCATATCAATAACTTCTAGATTTGATGCGTTTAAAAACAATAAATAAAGAAAAACTCCTCAAAGGTTTTTGTTTTATATCTCTAGTTCTATTATATTTACAGGGGTCTGGTTTGTGTCATTTCGTGTAGCTTATGTAGTCCTAACTTAATGTAAATTTTAGTGTGAATGCGTGGAGTAATTTTTATTTTATCCCATTTTTATTTGGTGCAAAAAAAACATTTTTTTTATATTTCTATGAAAATTCGGGTACTTTTCGTCTAAGGGGCCGCTACTGACTGCTATCTGCCAATGTTTATAACCTGAACACTGATAACTCCCATAAAGCACTGATAAGCCTTCTTTTACTTCATATCTTCGTATTATTGTATTAAATTCGTATTATTGAAAGTGTAAACAGATACAAAAACAAATTTAATAACAAGAAAAATACTTTTATTTGACGACACATGTATTAATGAAATAATAAAAAAAACACTTTAAGAAGATATGTACATATAAAACATCAAAATGAAATAATAAAAAACACATTTAAAAGAACATATTTACATAGAAAAGAAAAAATATAAAACGAAATCGGTTTTATAAAAAGATAAAACATTCATCTGTTTCTCGACAAACTCCACCAAACATCCACTGCTGAGATAAAACTCTCCCCACATGATTTTTTCGTTAAGAAAAAAGACTTTCTTTTACTTCAACCACTTTGCCAGGTCCTCCAATTTTTTTTCTTGGCCTGTATAACATGTCATGGGCACAAACCTCTCTTAGACATTTGTTCCACGTTACCATAGCTCTGTTGAATAGTTTCAGCTGCTCTTTGGCCCACTTCATCGTTATCAAGCTATGGGACCATCCATAAATCAATTTTAAAGCTGTTAAAAACGAAATCCTCGAGCCCTCCAACCATGTTCCTTTCCTTATTGAAAGTTTTGTGTCATAAGTCCTACGAAAGCATCTCCATTTGGCCTTCCTGGTTGACTTCATTCGATGACCTCGATCACACGTCGATTCAAGTCGGCAAGTACCCCAACATTTTAAAAATATTGAAGTGCCTGTTCTTCTGAAGGCGTCAAATTCCATATTCTAAGAAGATCCATAATATGACAAAAAGAAACACAAAGGGGCCACAAACTAAAAAAAAAAAGTAAAATAAACACAAACGGGCCAAAAACTAAAAATAATGAAAAATAAACACAAACGGACCAAAAGTAAACAATTTAATAAGTGAACATAATAAGGGAATAACTGAAAACTAAACAATGCAATAACTGAAAGGGGATAAGAAGAGGGAGGTTATGTGACGTGACGTTTGATAAGATAGATAAGAGGTGAGGTTTCAGTCCGGCCTGCTAG